GTGTGCCCCTCCAGCTCCTGCACCTCTTGGCCCGTGTGCGGATTCCATAGCCTGACTGTCTCATCGCGTGATGCAGAGGCCAGGAGCGAGCCGTCGCCCGAGAAGGCCACCGCATTCACCAAACTCGTGTGTCCCTCCAGCTTCTGCACCTCCTGACCCGTGTGCGGGTTCCACAGCCTGACCGTCTTATCGTTTGATGCAGAGGCCAGGAGCGAGCCGTCGCCCGAGAAGGCGACTGCGCTCACCGAATTTGTGTGTCCCTCCAGCTTCTGTAGCTCCGCACTCCATCCGACTGGAGTCATCGGATACCTCCGTATCCATGTTGGGATCTGACCACAAATGTTCCTCACAATACTAGCCTGTGGTGCGAAAATTAGAGCCGACGAATAAATCTGAAGGGGAGCAAGGTCGGCGATGTATCGGTTAGCAAGGACAAATCGTCGCGCATCTTCAAGAAAGGCTGATAACTGAGTTGACTCGTTCGCCTATCGCCTTATATTAGGGCCAGTCTCCTCTCTAGACTTCTTAACTAGAGGTAACTTACCAACATAAGTGATTGTAAGACGCCTACGTGCCCAATGACCTCAGCGATCCTGCCCATTAGGCTTAGAGCTTCAAGCCAGTGCAGGAAGTGCTTCCGCAAGAACACGTGCACGTCGTCTTCATCACGAATTTGAACCATACTATGCTGCACGTGGTGAATCCAATACCGACATGCATATTCCAATTGGGGTGGGAAACGTCGGTCGATTATAGCTGGTGCAACCTCTTTTCGTAACTGGCCGGGATACCTAAGCCCACACATGTTCTCATGTAGACCATTCTTCTCCCTTTTCAATAATTGTAAGCATCTTGTCGATAGCATTTGATGTGTGGCGGGGCCGTCTACTCCGAAAGGCTCTTGTCGAAGCTTGTCCCCTAATAGGAACTCATTAAAGGACAGGTGAAGCGTTCGAATCGGTGTCTCAAAGTTAGTAGGAGCACGCAACACAGAACGTAATGGATGTATGCGGTCCCAAATCTTGTCTTTGGGTACCTGAAGGAGATCGCTGAGGGATGCTATCGAAAGCGGCTCGGCAAGGACCACAATAGATCCGACGATGGTCCGGAATTCTTGGTAGAGCGGATCCGCGTCACGTGGGTCACTCAATGTTGCTGATAGTTGCTGGAGTACTGGAAGGTACGTCCGCTCCAGTTGGGACGTCGTCCCTATGCCTTTCGATTCGAAGGTCTTGAGCCTTTCTCGAGGGTTCCACTGCGAATCACCCACAAAGCGGCAGATGGTTGCGGCAAAGATGAATAGAGGAACGGCCATATCAGCCAAAGCCTGAAGGACTTGGTGGCCGGGCCAGTCTAGGTCCAAAGCGATACTTGGAGGGCGTACACTGTTGTAGTTTTGTCGAATCTTTGAAAACTCATCTTTCAAGAAGATGAAGATATCATTCTGAATTATCTTCTGCGGAACTTCTTCGTGGAGAACAATGTCCTTATGGATGTCAGCTGGAATAGTGCTAATTTCTTGGAGAATAGGCACATCAGGTCGGCTGGTCAGGAAGAGTCGGAGACGGATAGTCGTGATGTTAGGTAGTCGAGACCAGAGATCGATTATGATTTTGATGTCCCGTTCTTTGTCACACTCATCTAACGCATCCACTACCACGACGAATGCCGAACAGCCACCAGCATTAATCTTAACTTTCTGTAAGGGTTGATAAATCAACTTGTCGAATTGCTCACCCAATGCCTTGTCAAATATCGAAGGATCGGACTCGATGACTTCTGCGATGAGATCATTAAGTCCAGGTATCTTGAAGAGGAGATCTCGAGCAATGGTAGGAAAGAATCGTAAGGCAGTCCCTCGGTCGCCTTCGCCTCGCTTGAAAAAGTAGCTGGCTCCAAGGTCGATATGACCGAATCGACCCTGCTCGGTCAACCACTTAGCGAAGGTCCGAGAGATTGTCGATTTGCCCGTGCCTGCCGCGCCACTAAGCCAGTAGATGCTTCTACCACGAGACTGCTGAGCCCACTCCTGAATTTGATGGAGTATCTCGATCCGGGTCTCGGGATGACAGGTGATCTGATCGTCGTCGTATGAGCCATACGTTGCTCCTTTAGAGTAGGGCAATCGATCTGCGACACGGTCCTTTTGAAAATGCTGGTATGCAATGTTGATTTGGTTCTCCACTGGCGAAATATACATTAGTAACAGCGCGACAAATTCACAGTTGAAAGTGACAATCCGAGCCTGTAGATAAGTTTGGTATTGTCAGAAAGACCCTCCTCACTAGATTGCAAGAAGCAAATACTTTAGGTCACGGACAAATGACATAATCTTTCTCAGCACCAGAAATTCCATCGACAGCAAGTAGGGTCAGCGAGAGTCCGTACCTTGGTCTCGCCCGAAGAATTGGTTTTCTGCATTGTACTGACTGCCGGGTCCAGAGTTGTTATAGTTCTTCTGAACACCTCCCCCAGTGTTGGCATTAATTGCCCCCGCACCTGAGTGGACAAACTGAGGCTGCTCCTCGTCGTCAGACACATTGCTCAACTGTTCGATAGCTTCTTTAATATCTTTCAGCGCCTCCGCATCTTGGAACACTTGGTTTTCCGCAAGAAGCTCCATATTCTTCACAACCTCTTCCATGTACTCTTTCACCTTGTTACTCTTCATCTTTATTCCCACGGCCTTTCTTAGACGCTCTGCCCTCGAGGCGTCTTTGGTGGGTATGGTCTTGTCGAAGATGTCCTTCACACTGGTGGCACTCTCCTTGCATCGTTCCAGAACAGGCATGGCACTCTGCAGCGCCTCTTTGCTGACAGCTTTTGCTTTGATATTCCGTTCGGCCAGGCTGAGAGTGTAGTACACTAATGGGATTTGCTCAGCGGCTGCGCGGAACTTCCTCGAAAGTCCCTTAGTATCACTAGCAGCTTCGTATACCTCTTGAGCTGCTTCATATATCGCGATGATGGACCAGATCAGGCCGAGCACTGCGCTCGCCTCGCCGATGCCAGACATGCTTGGCTGCGCTTTCTTGCTGCGATTAAAGGGCGACCTCATCCTTAGGACGGGCTGATGTGTGTGGAGCAGATACGGTTCGAGCTCTGAGAAGGAGAGACTGTTCCGAGACCACTACTTTAGCAGCGATTAAGAATTCGCCCGCAGGGTTACTGGATGGAGGCCTCTCACTCGTTTGAGGCTTTCCCGATACTCATATGCGAGCCGTGGCCGCGCGCTCGATATTGTTAAAGCGTAGCGTGGAGCGAAGCTTTTTCTAGACTCTAAAAACCCCCCCCCCCACCAACCAACCCGCGCCCGCGTGAGAAAATTATCAGGGATCAATTTTGTTCACGTGACTCGAGTCGTCGCTGATTGGTCGGCCGAAATCGCTGCTGATTGGTCGACGAAAAATGACCAATCACATTATCTCGCGACGCGACGCGATGCGTGCGTGCCTCCGGTGTTTTCCTCAACACGATGCCACCCTCTTCCCTTTTGTCATGTCCGACGAAGATGCAAAATACTGCTCCACCTGTCTTCAAAAGCGTCTTCTCTCCTTCTTTCTTAAAGATGCATCCGCCCCCTCCGGGAGTGAGGTCTTTTCGACCTGTGTCGCCTGTCGAGACAAGCGCAGAATGAGGAGAGCTCGATAGCCGTCACGTCCTACGATCCCGTCCAAGAGGCGTGCCACACCGCTCACAGAAGCTTCTACACATCCAGGGCTGCCTCCTCTTCTCGAATCTCATCCGCCTTCGATCCTCCCTCCCCTCGCCCAGCGCGCTCTCTCTCCTCTCCTCCAACCTCATCCGTCGACGATTCCGTCCAAGAGGCGTGCGACACCACCCACAGAAGCTCCTCTTACACGTCCAGGACGGCCTCCTCTCCTCCAACCTCATCCACCGACGATTCCGCCCAAGAGGCGTGCCACACCGCCCACAGAAGCTTCTACACGTTCAGGGCTGCCTCCTCCCCCTCCTCCACCACCGACGCCCGTCCTACCTCGACCCGAACCGCCAGCCTCGGGCTTTCTCCCCGCCGAACAATGGGCGTCCATCCCAGTTTTCATGTGGCCATGGATCAGGTCAAGATGGAGACCTGCAGTCGCTGTCACGCACGGTGGTTCTCGATGGATTTGAAGAATGGCATCTGCCATGCCTGTTTCTTGCGGGATCAAGGTGGCAAGACTCCCTTTCTCATGTCCGCCGAGAATGGAATGGACACGGGAGAGCGGCCGCCCCATCTACCCGCGCTGACCCAAATCGAGGAGATGCGTACAAATGATGGTCTATCGCTACTGGGGCCACCAGCACCACTACTCGGGACACTCTGTCAGTTTCATGCAAAACACGATGAAGACGGTCGATATACTGCCTAATCTGCCGGTGGAACTAGACGTGGTGGTGTTACGGCCCTCGGATCGCGTCGTCTAGAATGATCTCCGCTCTCGACGCCAGTTTCGACGAAGCGTCGGGCAAAGATCGGATCTTTGCCATGGCCTTCCCGACATTTTATTCGACGGTCCAGGCCGATTTCAACACCCCCGAAAGGCCAACGGCGCGGCCCGTTTCTACGTGTCGAAGGCGTCCAGTCTCAAAGATCTCAGTCAGGAGGAGCTAACGGAAGCCCTCCTAGCGGACGACGCCCTCCTCCCTCAGATTGTGCGCCAAGGTCCAGCTCTGACCGGGACACGCCCGTTTCGGAGGAGTAAGAACAACCACTTACATGCCCGGGCCCGCTTTCTCTCGCCCGGCACGTCGCCTGTTTTTGTGACTCAGCGCGGCGGATATGCAGTGGCAGGACCCAGTTTCCTCTCCGGCTCGCATATGCGATCACCGTCCATAAGAGGCAGGGATTAATACTTTCCAAGGCGGTGATAACCTGAATCAGAGAGAGCATTGCCTAGGCCTTTCATATGTAGCCGTGACACGGGACTTGGACTATACTTTTAGAACAACATAGTTATTATGACTAGGGGTCGAAATCGCTAGCTATGTAGATGGGCTCTATTCTCATCGCCGATATCTGAGCACAATGTATCGGTATTTGCTAGATATATCGCCGACATCGTCGGCGGCTTTCCTAATTAGGTACGGAGTATACCGTCGTCTATTTCATGGTCCATGGACTGGATCCGACGGGGGATATCGTATGGCACAGGACACGGTGATCAACATCGTCTATATATGATCCATGGACTGGATCCGATCAGGGAGGTCTGGCAGGTAAAGGCGGCATTCTACACATTGCTGGGTGGGCCGTGGATTGGATCCGATGGGGTGTGATTTTACGGAGGACTTGTCCTATTTCGAAGGGGTCCAAGGGACCGTCGGACTATATACTTTCGAAGCGTGTACGAAGCGTACAACACTTCCGAAGGTCTTTACAGGCCTTGGCGTCGCCACATATCACAGGGGTCAGCCAACTAGAGCACGTGATTGGGTGTCGGATTATAGATTTTCCGGACTCCGGCGGCATTCCCCCCTCCTGGATGGGCCATGGACTGGATCCGATGGAGTTAGCCGACTAGAGCACGTGATTAGGCGTCGGGTTATAGATTTTCCGGGCTACGGCGGCACTCCACCCATTCCTGGGCGGGCCGTGGATTGGATCCGATTGGGGGTCATGATTACGTAATCTCAGGATTATAGTTAGATTTTCCGGATCCGGGGGGAATCACGTGATATCTCGAGCGCAGCGATGTGATTTCACGGAGGACTTAGTTGGCATTCGAAGAGGTCCGAGGGACCGTCTGACTATATAGTATCTGAGGGTTACGAGCGTGCTTCGAAGACCCCTGGTCATTACAAACCTTGGCAGACCTTCAAAAGGGTCACGTGGGCCACCTATAGTCATAGCGAGGCCGGGGGTTTGGGCTTGCCCCCTAAAGACGAAAGCTACGCTTTGAAGAGGCATGAAGGCAAAATGTTCCTCGCAGGTGATTCGAAGGGTGCCAGTTTGCTGGCTTGGTATACTTGTCTTGATGTTATGGGGTCGCTCCCTCACAGAGGGTAGAGGGGGAGTGAGGTTGACGCGCGAGCAGCGGCGCGGCCTCTTGCCCTCACGTGAGCTCAGGCCGAGCGCTGCGTTCCTTGAGCCGCCCAAACAAATGACTGCATAACTGCAACTCTGTTACTCATTTCTAGTCGGAAGAGATAACAACCAACATTTACCTTCTGTCCCTGGCTAGACCTTCTCGTTCGCGCCCTTCCCCCTCGACTCTCTCATTATGAATGTAAGTGCTAGGGAGAGCCCTACATAGCACCCCGCTAATCCCCCCGCAAGATCATAGAATGGGCCTTTGGCAAGCGCATGACACCGGCAGAACGACTTCGCAAGCACCAGCGGGCTCTCGAAAAAACGCAACGAGAACTGGATCGGGAAAGAGTCAAGCTTGAGAACCAAGAGAAGAAATTGGTAGCGGATATCAAGAAGAGCGCGAAGAATGGCCAGATTGGGGCCTGCAAGATCCAGGCAAAAGACTTGGTGCGCACGAGGAGGTATATCCAGAAATTCTACCAGATGAGGACTCAGCTACAGGCTATTTCGTTACGAATACAAGTGCGTCCTAGTTTCCCAACTGCCCCGTCTGTGACGTGATAATTGACTAGGGTGTCATCGGCAGACTGTTCGGAGTAACGAGCAAATGATGCAGTCGATGAAAGGGGCCACGATGCTGCTCGGAAGTATGAATCGACAAATGAACCTGCCCGCTTTGCAGAGGATCGCCATGGAATTCGAACGGGAGAACGACATTATGGACCAGCGGCAGGAAATGATGGACGATGCCATTGATGATGTCACTGGTTTAGAGGATGAAGAAGAGGGAGAGGAAGTTGTCAATCAGGTTCTCGACGAGATCGGTGTCGACCTCAATAACGCTGTAAGTCAACGGCGGCCCTTAATCTTCCTGACCAGCGATAACCAATTGCTTCTAGCTTGGTGAAACTCCAACCGGGATACAGAAAGCAGCAGTTCCCGAAGGACGAGTGGCCCAAGCAGTAGGAGGTGGAGGTGAAGATGATGATCTGCAAGCCCGTCTTGACAGTCTGCGTCGATAGGGATTGGAATCGCATGGCCCTGTGAGCACGGCGTCTGGAGTTAAGCTAGACATATCATGGTGGACTAAAACTGCCATGTCGCATTAGAATGATAATGGTTGTGAGCCAATTTGTTACTGTTCATAATATTTTTCTTTCTGCTTAATGCATTGTATCGTTGCTAAAAGCTACATAGAGATAGAAAAATGTAATACCCTTATTGTGAACCTCCTTCCGTCAAGGCGAACCTCCTTTCGTCAGTACATATCACGTTGATACTTATGTAGTTCCTAAATCGAGTTGAACGAAACCCAAAATTCCACGCCAAATACTTCCGTTCTTCTGGTCCTGACCGGATCATCCTATTGGTACATTTTCGTTCCGGCACCCATTCGGTACCCACGCTATAGCTCCACCCACCTCCAATTTCTTCTGAAAGAAACGAAAGCTCATTATCATGATCAGATTGGTTTATTTGGCGACCATGATGGTGATGGGCTCACCCAGAGGAGCGCCAACGTTGCTGTATGCGCCTTCCGATAACAAGTCAGTATAGCACGGCGCAACCAAGGGCAGGCAGCCAGGTGGATGGAATGATTCTTACCAGGAGGATAGTATCTACAGACGGTAAAGTGTCGTGTGAACCCTGCACTGACCAGGCCATTGGGGCAGAATTGAGTAGCACAGCCAACTCCCAGGACCACCAGGGGAGGTGGGATCAATTGCCCTGTCATGGCAGAGACTTGGACACCGGTCTCAGGGTGTATTGGAGAAACTCGGACTTTGCAAGGGTCGTGCCCAATTGACCTTATCAGGGTCTTGGTAACCGTGACATCCTTCTCAAACCAATCCGACCAAGATCCCAGGACCTGCTCGCTGGTTAGCAAGCACGACGAGTGCTGTGGCAGGAATCTTCATCGTAATAACTGGTACCCAATCGTGACAGTGCAGTCTTTAGGGATTCAATTGGAGAGACACACAAGGACGGGGTATCGTAACACAACAGCACAGTAAGGGGAGCGGCTATGGCGCGTATCTGTATTGCGAAGGAAAATAAAAAGGAATGACTCCTTGACTCTGGGCAAACATGTGGGAGAGTCTGGATGTGTTTCCCGGTTTCGTCGTAGCCACCATGTTCCAATCGGTGACATGATAAGGATGGCACCACGTCCAACAACAAGTTCGTTGTTGATGTGTTGATGGACTGCTGTTAGAACAATCGTCGAAGCCTATATCACTATAGCGCTCAAATAAAAATCCAGTGCTAAGCTTGAACAAATCTGACAGAGCAAAGTTGCATCGTACCGTAGACCGGGGGAATGGTTGCTTGAAGAATATATCTGTGCCAGGATCGTGGAAATGGGACGGGATCGATGACGGAAAGGATATTGAAGAGGTCGAGAAAAAGCATCCACAATTGGATGTCAAATTGTTCTCGTAAGAAACAGGGTGCCAGCCTTTGCTGGTACGTCCGAATCTTTTTCGCCGGCTGCAACTTGATGTGTCGACTTTGGCGCTTACCAGCTGTTCTTAAGAGTATCACATGGGGGTCGGGTGATGTGACACACAGCGAAATGGAGACATAGTGGGGGAGGTGTAACAACCAAATAAGAGGTGTAGAAGCAGACGTCAGAGCTGTCAAAAGTGTGGTACTAATTTGTATGCTTTATTCCTGAAATGAACTCAGACCGATGCTAATTTTGAACTGACCATGATTCCAGCGAAGTGATATGTCTCCTGAGATGATACATTGTTGTAGTTGAGCTCTGTGGAAGAAGTCTTTGCAGGTTCAATTCGGGCTCTTTGCTTCAGAGGTCTGGCCAGGGTCTGAACGAGATCCGAGATGTGACCACAAAGTCTGTGTTGATGACGATCATCCCTGGAAAACAATATCAATGCCAATTTGTTAACGAATAGATAAAATGGGTTTTGATCCTTGGATTCGATGATGGAGATTTGACAAAAAGGAGATATAACAAACTTCTACTTTTGAGGTTTTATGATCGTCCGTACTACGGCGCAGCATCAGGAGTTCGGAGAAACTATTTCCCCGAGGAGCACTTCCCTCTATCCTCATTGGCTAACACTGACTTCAACACGCCATCCGTGGTTGAACATGCGATCAACGAACCACTGCTCTCCACGCCACTCTCGCAATCTTGGGAGCAATTCTCAATGTCGTTCAGCATGATCCATCTCTGACTTCCCTTGACCAGCGGAATCCTGCCTTTGCGCATCGCGATGTCACTCCATCATCACGGACAATGGCCGAGCATGGAGATGATCCTTCTGTGACGTCTAAACTCCGCAATGAGCGCCCTTTTCTTTATCCGTGGGTCAGTCTGATTTCCTGTGGAGTTGTTATGTCAGAGCTCACCGAGTTCCGGTTGAATTAGAATCGTCGACTGCGTCATCTGCATGGAATCTCGTTGCGCAACCTGCATGTCACCACCCCAAGTCCCAAAAGACGGGCGAAGACAATCACCGACGACGACGCACCTTACAACCTTGTTTCCCCAGCGAAGCGTGCTCTGCAAGGCGATTCGAAGCCCTTGACCCAATCAAGATCCTTCACAAACCTGTCCGATGCAACTGACGACCCCCCCGGCCCTGGTAGCTTTCACAGAGCTGCTACTTCATACCAAAAGAATGACAAACAACAGAACGGGCCGGGCGGACGCAGGCTCCGTAGAAGAAGTACTCTGCATTGGGGCTCGACAAGTCCACGAATCCGGCAATCGAAGCTGGAAGAGATGGTGGTCAATCGTCTCGCTGATACTTGGGTGTCGGTACACTGTCCTGGCGTGTCCGAGCCTATTTATATTAGTGAGGTGATAGAAAAATCCATGAACCCGAGTTTTGCCTTTTTCGACCTGGATGGTAGCGGACCTCAAATATCGAGATCTGATGAATGTACCATTCGAGTATGGGCCCGATGTTCCAGCACCGAAGACTATTGTTTACTGGTCGAGCTGGACCTGAATCTCAGATCTCTACAGTTCATTGGGCGCAGCCTCGAGAATTTCCACCATCCATTGCCCCCCAATTGCATCCTCCTCCATTTATCTGACGGTATCTACACCAGCTTTACCGACCTTCCTGCCGACCCGCATCCGGTGGTCGAGCATGCCATTGACCACAGGGCTGGAAGCAGGAAGCCGGGCTCTTCCTTTGACGCTCTTATGCAGCTTGCCAATCTGGACGAGTGTATTCAAGATGCGGTCAAAGTCAGATCGCAGCTAGAAGAGGACATCAATAAACTCATCGCGCAGGCTCACCTTCTCACGGATCATGAGGACGACCTCGAACTCGACGAAGACAACCCTCAAACTGAGGCGGCACTGGCGGCAGAACGGAAGAATTTACGACAGCTGACGAAACGACGAGATGAATTGAAGGAGTCTTTGGCCCAACGGCGACAGGTGCTATCGTTGGGACGCAAAGTGGAACTGAAATCCCGAATGGTGTTGGAAGAGAAGTCCAAAGCCTGCAATGAGCTCGAGACTCAGGTCCAACAAATCGAGAAGGATTCAACTGGTCAAATACGACGAATCTGTGAGACACTTCTCACGATTTTCCACATCGAACCCCTGCAGAGCCGGACACTCCAATTCACGATCTGCGGTATTCATCTCCCGAATTCTGTATACAATGACACCAATCGAGACGAAATTGCCGCGGCTCTTGGATACGCTGCCCAATTGGTCCATCAGCTGTCGCTGTATCTCTCGATTCCGCTGCCATATCCCATCGAACCATTCGGCTCTGCGTCATTCATCTCCGATCCCATATCAATTGCATTGAGCCAACGACGATACCCCCTTCACCCCACCACTGTGCCGTATAAGTTTGAGTATGGAGTGTTCTTACTCAATAAAGATATTGAATTTCTCATGAACCGATCTGGCCTCCGAGTTCTTGACATCCGGCATACACTTCCCAACCTCAAGTACTTGCTTTACCTTATGACAGCTGGCACCGGGGACTTGCCAGCTCGCAAGGCTGGAGGAGTCAAGGGTCTCATGGGAGGTCGCATGATCCCCGATATCGCACGTCGGGACAGCGAAGACAGCGTGAGGAGCCTCCCATCATCTTTGAGGCAAAATATAACAGAGATGACTACCAATGGCGGCATAATGGGCACCAAAGAAAAGGAGGTTGGTGATCCTTGGGTGGCGACATCACCAGGTCGAGGCCTGCCGTACAGACACGGCTTCTCTGGGATGCAGGATAGGTGAATGTAGTCATGATCAGACCGGTTCACGGCACCGCGTATCTCTTCTTGTTTTGCTTCCTATTTCGAGCACTCATTGCTTCGGTAATTTTCTCATGCTGTGCGCGTAGTGGCCGTGACTATTCGCATTTGCTCACGTAGGAGACAAACCCCTCCAGCTTGCGCTGCCAAGTAAACCGGTTGGCACTGTCACTGAGCGGTTCACTGTTCACGGAAGAGAGAGGAAAGCGACGGCGAGGCATAGGTGACCAGCGCTCTATAAGGCAGTTCATGCCGCATCAAGTAGTGAATAATGAAGGCGCAACAACTGGACAGCTATATTCATTCGATTCTTTCCATCTTTCCCACTTTCTTGGATATGCACGAAGAACCAGCTCCACCCGATCCGGAGTGGACAAGATGGATTCCTCCGGCTTCAAGGCGACCCTTGATGAGAACAGCAATGACAACAACCGATACAAATACACTGAGGAGGATGTCCTTCGCGACCTTGGACTCCTTGACGCGGAGGAGTCTGAAAACCAACAACAAAGGCGGTAAGTGGCAGCCTTGTCCGCCCGCCACCCACCAATCCTAACATTTCCCCCCTCTTAGCCCCTCCCCACAAGGCTCCTTCGCCGGAAACATCATGCCTAGTGCGCTTCCGTTGGGGCGTAAGGCCAGCACGGCGGGTGTTACTGGAGACGCTCTCGGATTGTATCAGCATCAACCTGACCCAAGCGGTTATTTCGGTGCCTCGGAACTCTCTCAACACCATCCCAGCACATTTCCACCACCATTTCTACCAACCACCGCACCCGCTATGGCTTACAGTCCTCCTGTCCAGTTACCTGCGCCCAGTTTAGCTCCTACGGTTGTTTACAACCACCTTTCATCGTCACCAGAGCCCACGGAACCCGTTCCTCCACCGGCCCCATCGAATCGTCCTCACCGTCGCCTCTATCAAGCCTGTCAAAGCTGCCGTGAGCGCAAAGTCAAATGTGATCTGGGCAGTCCGTTACACCAACCCCCATTGTCGCGTCCATGGCTGATTGATTGTTCTCCAGGTGTCGATGCTCCCCGGGATCCTCCCTGTAAACGATGCTTGAGGGAGCGGCTGAAATGTGAATTCGCGGCGACAAGAAAGAAAGACAAGGCGGACAGGGACAAGGATAAGGACAAGGACGATTCGAGGCCACTGAAGAAATGGAGGAAAAGAGATGCTTCAAACGACGCTGATTCATCTGTCATGAGCGATGGCTTGCCGAACTATGGTCTCACGCAAGGCAATGGCAGTCAGTCGACCTCGCCTTCCGGCGCGACAAATGGATTCACCCGCCCGACCTGGGGCTCTCGGCCATCGGTCACGTCCCAACCTCGCGACGATTCACTCCGGAATCGGAACATGTCCCTCTTTCAACCTTCGACCTCTCAGAAGAATCCGTCCGGTGTTCATTTACACAGTCAAGTGGCCGCCGCGACCCTGGGTGCGCCGGTGGCCAGCACTCAGGATAGCATCCTGTTACTGGTCGATGCGGCAAATGCCTTCAACGAGAGTACTACTACTCCTCACGACCAAGGAAGCCCACTCTCTGAACGCGGCACGGCGGGACGGAAGAGAGCATTCTCCAGCCTTGGCCATGGAGGGCCGGATGCCCCAAGCGACGTGGGCTTTTCTCCTCAAGAGCAAGCGGAACAACAAGCGGGTTTGAAAGCTTGGTCCCAGATGCGCTTTGTTCGAAATGGGTGGTTCACAGCCTGGGAAGCCATGCAATATGTCGAATATTTTTACGATCGACTCGCTCCCATGACGCCAGTGGTATTTCCTGACTTCCGATCGCCTTACAAACACCAGGCTCTCTTGGTCGAGGAGCCGATCTTAGCGCTCGCTATTCTGGCTATTGCTTCCCGCCACCTGCGTCTTTCTGGCCATGCCGCCGGGTCGCGATCGTACGCCATTCACGAGAATTTGTGGAATAGCCTGCGTCGTCAGGTGGAACGCCTTCTTTGGGGCCAGGAACAATTTGGTGGCGGATTTTGTGGAGGTGGCAGTACTGCAAAGATCCGGGAGTCGAACAGTGGGCAGATTACCTGGAAAGGCAGTCTGAGAACCCTCGGAACCATCGAAGCGCTTTTGATCCTGACCGACTGGCAACCGCGCGCTCTGCATTTCCCACCCAATGGTGAAGATCATGGCTTGCTCGACCAAAGCCTCACGATGTCTTCCGATATGAACCATAACGTCTCTGCACCGGACGATCAGCCCACCGGCCGCACTCGAGATTACGAAAATCTTCCGTATGCAAGCTGGCTCGAGCCTGCCTGGAGATCTGATCGAATGTCCTGGATGCTTCTCGGGTTGGCCCAGAATCTCGCCTTTGAACTCGGTGTCTTTGATAACAATCACTTCCACTGCCGCCATCAGCACGGCCCTGACTCGGAATGCGCACGAAAGAGACGTATCCGAAACCTTCTCCTCGTCTATGTGGCACAAACGAGCGGCCGAATGGGCATCCAATCGTCTTTGAATGTGGAAGACTGGGAAACCGACACCACCTGGGACGAGACGAGCAAAACCCAACGTCAAGGGAGAGGTGAACATCCACTCGATATCATGCAAGCCTGCTGGGTTCACATTGCCCGACTCATGAACCGAGCCAATCGTGAAGTCTTTCCATCTCATCAATTTACTCGAGAGCTCACCACGAGCGGAAGATACAAAGATTCCATTGCGACCTTTGCGCTCTTGCTCCAGAACTGGAAGACGGTGTTTGAACAGTCCAAACCATATATTCACCCAGTGATGCAGAGTATTCTGACCATGGAATATGAGTATGCGCGGTTGTACATCAACTCACTGGGTCTTCAGAACGTCGTGGAATCTTGGGTCGAAGGCGGCTCCACCATCCGCAAAGCGACACTGGCAAAGATTGCAGAAGATAACAAGCCTTACATTGATGAAGTGACTGATGCCGCACTCAACATCCTCGGCACGGTGGTCGACGGCATGGCCAGCAAAGGCTATCTCAGAGATGCCCCGGTTCGAACCTATCTCCGCAGTTTGTCCGGCATGATGTTCACCCTGAAGGTTGGTCGCGACACTGACTTGATCACATTATTCTCCCATACTAATCTATTTCACTGCAGCGCTTCAGCTTAGGGACTCACGAAAGCTTAGTTCGACGATGCCTTCAACAGCTCGAAACGGTCACCAGCGCCATGTCGAAAGAAGTCGTAGACGATGTTCACCTTTCCTCATCGACATCTCGCCTGGTGCAGAACATTGTCCGCAATGTGACACAGACCTTGATTCGCGTCCAACAACCTGGGACTGGATCGGCCGGTCCCAGTCGTGAACAATCACGTCCACAATCTCCACATGGTCATAATGAACCTGCCACCGAAAATCAGCAGCCGCCAGTTCAGGCAATGAATCTGACTCCACTCAGTCCGGAACACCACGACATACGTGATCCTCTGGCAGGTATTCAGGCGAGACCGATGGCAGAACTGGAGTCACAGGTGTTCGTGCCGCCTCCCAACTTCAATGGAGATGGTCAGGATCTGGACCCTACCTTACCAGATGATGCCAACCTCGACCCGGCGATGGGGAACTTTTCTATGGACTGGTTTGCGCTGCCACTGGACAACCTCTTCCACAATGACGAGGCCACGGTCGATCAAGGTTTCGGAGGGATTGGTCCGACCGTGGGGGCTCGGGACATGCTCGAACTCATCACCAATCGAGACTACAACCAGATGCAGTGGAATGGCAGTCAATCGTTTGGAATGGACACGTAGTAACGTGATGGTGTGTGGGACAGATCATCTGCTGGGCCTTGGGCCTCATTTGTCTTCTTTGATCGAATGATAGTGACAGGGAAAGTTTCTGGCTGGGAGGGATTGACTTTTTCCCGACTTTGGTTTCTTTTTCACGGAGGTGACCACGGATTGAATGATGACTCTTAATTCAGATGGTGGATCCGAGCCAAAACCTTTCATAGTAAAATAAATGGAAGAGCATGTGAATCCCCAGTTCTGAGGGGTCCCCTGGAAACAAGGAGTGCGATTTAAGTTTTTGCGACACTTAGTGCGGCGGAATCGACATAATTCATCCCGCAGTCCGTCCACGACTCAGCTGCTCACAAATATCTGGCCTGCGATAGTCTCTCTGATGCCGTAAATCTTGTCTGACTACTCTCCGACCATCATCAATCCTATTATACAAAACACTGCCTCTCGCCATGCTCGCATGACCACAAACTGCGCGTCCTCCACCCGTCCGACCCGGTCGTTCTCGCGCCTTGACCATGTGGCACTCGGAGTCGCTCATAGGTCCTTCACAACGGTAGTCAAGACATGTCCAACGATGCTTATATCACCGCTCGTCAACTATGGGGACAGTTGAGCACTACTACCACCGGGCACACCGCTTCCGAGGCCTGGTGCACGCCGCTGATTCTACCCAGTGGAGGTTCGTCACTATGCCATTGTGTCGATACGGGGAATCGTTGACCAAAAATAGGCGTCATTGTCTTCGAGAACGACCAGACCAGCACCCTTCAAGCCCAAGTGACCTTCAAGCTTCCCTGCGAAAATTCCAACCCCATTATTAGCCCCGATACGACCGGCAATTCCACCGTGATCGGCTTCCAGGACCCCTTTTATGCGTCGATATCCCCCCAGATATTTGCTCTTGCGACCGCGACCGTCATCAGCTATGTCCTCGTTATTCTTATCTTCATCACCCCGAGGACCTTCTTCGTTGGCGGGCCTGGAGGAGGCGCTGGATTTCTGGGACGTCGCGGCCGGATCCCCGGGTCATATGCATCTTCTTCAATCGTCGGGGTGGGGCGGAGGCCGCTGCTTCAAAAGATCGCAACCGTCACGGTTGCGATTTCACTGACGATCGCCACGGCCGATACCTTTGCGGTGGCTGAAGATCAATACAATCAAGGGTATATGGATTCGAGTTTGCTGGTTGACAATGTGGTGGGAAGTCTCGAAATACGTATCATTCGGGTCATATCGGACACGTTCCTGTGGCTGGCACAGGTCCAAACTTTGATTCGATTGTTTCCACGACACAAAGAGAAGGTCACGATCAAATGGCTTGGATTCGTCATGGTGTCGCTCGATACGATCTTCAGCATCTTGGACTCGTTTGTGAGCGGGAACCCCCGGACCCGGCCCCGGAGTTTCCAGGACGCCATTCCGGCACTGAACTATCTGTTTGAGCTGTCGATCTCACTCATCTATGCGTCATGTGTGGTTTATTATTGTCTATCAAAAAGACGGTTTGCATTTTGGCATCCCAAGATGAAGAACATCTGTCTGGTGGCCTTGTTATCCCTGGTTTCCGTCGTTATTCCTGTGGTATTTTTTGTGTTGGACATCTCTCAACCCAACCTAGCGGGATGGGGTGAATACATTAGATGGGTGGGCGCTGCCGCTGCGAGCGTGGTTGTTTGGGAATGGGTGGAACGAATTGAATCTCTGGAACGGGACGAGAGAAAAGATGGAATTCTTGGAAGGGAGATATTTGATGGTGATGAAATGCTCAACATGACCCCGTCGGAAGATGCCAGCTGGCATGGCCGTGATTCCACCAGTGGCCAAGGCGGAGATGGTCGCAAGAATGTGGGAGATGGCGTAGTGTCGCACTATAAACGACTCCGGCTTCGCCTTCCGCTCCGAAAACGCCGCCGGGCCGCACCACCGGACGGAATCAGCACAGGAGCGGACGCGATGAACACGACTGGTCCGCGAATGGCGCCGAATTCGCAGTTGCCGATACCGGAGCCCGTCATGACGCCCCCTAGCAGAAGTGACACCGGAAGCGCGGCGAGTACGGTTTACGCCATTCGTTATCACAACCTGACCAGTCCATCACCAAATCTTCACCAGGAAGCGCGTTTGCCGCAAGAGAGGAATACTCTGGTTGAAGTCCCCAAGGTGATGACTGACCGGTCTGGTTCGGAATCATCCGCGTCAGCCACAGATAAGGAGATCGTGCTCGAGACGAATCCTCAAAAAGCTCGGACGACGGCAGGATTTATTGGTCGGCATATGTGGCGGGCGGTACCCCACCCATTCAAACGCCGAAAAGCTGAACCGCCAGCGGAGGTAGCAGATGCTCAAATTGCGAATGGTTGGCGACGATCTCCGATCGACCGGACTTTGAACCTGCGCGATAGATTCGGAGCATTTGCATCTGCTCAAAGAGAGCGGTTCGCTAGCCGAGGGACCGTCTCAGCGGCCGTTCTGCCGGTCACGGTTATTCCAGCCCCGAAGAACAACGACAGAACTTGGTCGCCGGACGATGTGCGTGACGGTGCGGCCAGCGATGGTGCTATTGCCATGAATACCGTGGCTGCTTCGAGACCACTACACGAGCGTTCGGGAGCGCCAACGGGATCTGGCGATCTAGCCCAGGTGATGGTTATCCCAGCTCCGACACCGGGCCGGACTTGGTCTCCCAATGATGCCGATGATATGTCGACAAGTGGTCCTCCCCAGACTCCCAGTTCGAGCGATGAACGCTCAGACTCAGCGGCTCGACCGGACTCCAGCCCAGCTTCCGGGGATGTTCTTGCCAGTCACAATATATATATTCCCAGGGGATCTCTGACCATATCCGAATCGGAGCCAAGGGTAAGCCGTGTGGCGGATGCTGCACACCCCACTTCGCCCCGGTCAGCGTCATACGTACCACCACCAGAGATCGTCCCCATCCCTGAGACCACTGCCGATGACGTGTCGGTCGAGAGTGACGATGCTGGTGGGCAGGCCATAGGAAATACATCTTCTATCCCCGCGAGAGGAACGGAGGAACCAAGCGACGTGGATGTGAGTACCCCAGCGGAAACAGAAGCGGTGTCTACAGTGTCATCTGAGTCTTCGCCAACCATTGTCGCGAATCCGTCCCCGCAAGAGCAGCAACGAGGTCGAATGAGTTCTGATACCAGTGCCTCGGAGGATGGCAGAGATACGGGGGGCACGAGAGCCTCATGACGTGTATGGATGGCACATAGAGTTAAAGTGTCGGAATCCCATCTGTGACGGATTCGGATGAATGTATGAGATTATTAAGACAGGCTGGTCCACCGTACCATATATTACTGCAGAGCACAGGGCAGCTTATCTGTCAAACGGCTGACGTTGACGAATGGCCGCATGCTTCTGCCTGAATGCGCCAGGTGTCGTCCCTTTCACGTGGGAATTTGTCGACGACAAATTCCTCTCCCCTCAGCCGCTCGTGTGCGAATGTTTCTCTATTTCCTTTTCCCTATCTCTGGTGTCAATACTCGGACAGCATTGACTTCCCTTGTTCCGCATCTGCATTCTCTACCTAATGCCCGTCCTAATCTGTCTCGGTCAACCCATGCCGCCACAGAATGACCTTTCGTGCCAACCATCTTTACAGTAATGGACCTGAAGTTCAAGGAGCATTTGGCGTGGACAGTCTCCCCCTCACAACTGTGGCCCACATTATATTCTACCTCGAAGACGATGTTGCCTCTCTCGCGCGACTCTGTCGGACCTCGCGTGTCCTTTATTACATGACACTCCCGCATCTCTGGAAATGCGTGGACCTGAAATCGTACAGCTCCATACGGTACAAAGACGATGTACCAGAAGGATTTGGGAGTGCCAGCCCTTTTTCCATGGGGCTGAATGCCCTGGTCACCAGAAATGTGTCGACTTTGGTACGATCCTTGGGATTAGAAGGAGAGTTTGGGGCATCGGATTTATATGAGTATTCAAGAGTTGGTCGTGTGTCGGAGAGTACGATGATCCTCAACATCGCTGTCCGGGCGGCCGTGGATCAGTGTGTTCATCTGGAAAAGTTTCGATGGGATTTGAACATCAGATTACAGCCCAATGTCTACGGTGGCCTCGCAAAGTTATCGCGACTCGAACACTTATGGCTCCGGTTTCCGACAAATAGATTACCACAGCCATCCACCGACATACCTGCGCTGCCCAATCTCAAATCCTTGACGATCACTCATTTTGACCCTCTTTGTTTTCCCGACGACATTTCGACCCTGTTGCTACATGCAACCAACCTCGAGAGTCTCCAGATGCACTTTTCCCCTCGAATGCGGGAACAGGGGGAAGCATCTGTTGTGATACCACACATTTTCCGCAAGAACATTGCCGCAAAGAAGAGACTCCGACTCAGGAGAATGGGCGTCTATAATCTGCTCGCAAGCGTGGGCACCCCAGAATGCTTGGAAGCCTTGGATACGACGACGTGTGAGCATTTCACCGCCTTGAATACCTTTGGACTGGACGAAGATAGCTTAGGATCCCATCCCAGCACCACCCATTTCATCGATCGGACCTGGCTGGTTCCCGTGAACAAAGATAATCCCAAACCCAAATCGCTACGTCTGGACCAACTGCATAAACGACATGCTTTGGACTTGGGCAAATCTGCCGGACTGGAACGCCTATATCTTGTTAACGCACGCTATAAGCGCGACGGAACAAATGGCTACGCCAACTCGTCCCCAACCTCGGCCGAAGTATCCCCCATGCCTTCTTCAGGTGCAGGCAGTAGCAATAGATCATCACGGGGCACCCCCCAGCCCAACACCAGTCTCCGCGATTTATATCTGGATAACATCTGCGGAGTCTGTGGCCCGACATTAAAACATTTGATTCTTCCTGCCCGATGGCTTCTCCCCACACCGGTGACGGCACGACTTATCCGCTCATGCCCCAACCTCACCCAACTCAGTGCCGCAATCGAATGTTCCGACTACCAGGTCCTACGCATGCTTGTCCCCTTCCTATCCAAACTATGGGCCATCCGCATCCTAGCCCCGACTCAAGAGGGAGAAGGAGAAGAAGCACAAAAGAATCTCGCCGCATATAATGTCTTCATCAACGAAGATGACAGCGCGCACGAGGAGAAAATGGCCACCGTGCTAGTCGGAACTGGTCCCAATGGCGCGACGACGGATTTACCTTGCCTCCGATACGTCGGTCTCGGGCCCAAAGTTTGGGAAATCGGCGGGATTATCGAGGAGACTGTCAAGATTCCAGTGGACGGTGAAGAGAGAGGTTTAGATCAAGATGGGAACGGAAATGGAAACGGAAATGGAAACTGGGTCGACAAAAACGGCAAGGCTACATGGCGGGAAGAGATCGTGTACAGGCGGAAAATCAAAAGGATCACCGAACAGGATGTCAAGGAGGTGGAGATTTGGAAGATGGATTCCATGGACGTGATTTGATCAACAATAAGGCTCAAGACGAAATGGCATGGATATGCACTGGGAGCTCTGTTGCCATTATATACATGCGACGCGAGGCAATCGAGGGATGCAATGCATCGGGTATATAACCCTCCAAAGAACAATTCAATGGTTGAAAAAGGGCAGACAAATGTCTCGTGAAAAGGGCCTAGGTGGGAACGTCGAATGAAGACACTCTGGTGTACAGACACTTGAAACAACCTATATTATAATCCCAACTCATGCTTCTCTTCCTCTTTGGCCAAAGAGCTACTATGAGGATGAAGGAAAATGTCCAAAATCTTTGTTCGCGCCGCCGAGTTGTATCGCCGTATCTTTATCATTCCCATCTTTCCAAAGTAGAACCGTCATTACCGCCTATTGAACTACCAATGAAAGAGAAAATGTGTCATCCACGGAGGGAAAGAAAATAATTCCTTCGAGACGAGAGAGATGTTCGGCTCATCTTTTGGGAGTATCGTGAGTCGAGCGACCATGCGTCGGGGTGAAGCAATTGTGTGGACATTGATATGAGTGGATTCAACTTCAGGCTCCAAGAACAGCAAAATCCTCTTCAAACGCGTCACATAACTTCCTTGAATGGATAGGCGATATACGACCCTGCTGAAGCAAGAATGGTCCTGACTGCATATTCAACAACTATACAGCCTCTCGCGACGTTCACACTCTTCGCAAACCACACAGATACAGTGTCTGTCTGCGAATGTGCAAGGCTCACACATTTTATGCGTACACGGGATGCACCATTCTCGACGCCCACCACACCCTTCCGCGGAAACTTGAGAAGAAGAGGCGCTGTAATTGTCGTATTTGTAATCGGAGCCATACACTGGGACGTCGTTGTCATAGCCATAATGTCTAAGGTCGCCGAGTCCGTCATCAAACTGCTCGACCAGAAAAGCATTTTCTGTAGGATGGTGTGTTTGAGTAGCTGCTATATCTCTGGAGTCGTAGCAGAACTCGACCCAGGAATGTCTCGTGAGGCTAGCATAGGGGTTTTCGCTTCTCTCGTTAGCATCTCGACTATCGAGAGAGCTTTCCGGCTGTGAAGGGCAAGGATGAGGAGCGTCTTGCAATTGCGGCGTATATCAAATCCTGACCGTCCCTTCTCTGGCCGGCCGAAGGAGATACCTCGAGACTAGAACGGCCGATATCTGCCTCTAGCTTATTCGCAACGTCTGTCTTGATTTATTTAGATTGATCGAGGGTCAGGTTGTGGTGCGATGCAGAACAAATATAAATTGTCCGTCCAAGCAGCAACACAGTAGGGCTAGACGGCCATGGTGAATGCCCGAGGCGAGCGATCAGGGTAACCGTACGCCACCAAACCGAATCAACCGTTACGATGGGGAGAAGGCACTGATGAGTGACCTTGGTGATGTGACTTTGCCGCATTTATGCGTACACAGAGATTCGGTGACCTAGCCCGTGTATAGACAAACAGTGGAAAAAGAACCGTCCACTATCCATCTCGGCGTTTCGAGTCGCAGATCTTCTGCTGGTGTTAGATGCATCAATTTTATCAAAAAGGGAGGCAAACCAGAGAATAAAAGCCAGTTCTTGGAAGAGCAACGATATTGATTGTATACAGACGGCCTCTTGATGTTTCCGGTGGTCCATCCGTACTAGCTGTTCTGATCGTGGCCAGCTCATGTTAGCTTTAAGCCAACATGTCCGTGCTGGTTTGTTGTCATGGCTGAAGATCAAACGCTGCTCTGCAGTTCTGCAGAAAGATGATCAGGACTGCAGCAGTGTATCTTAGAATACTTCGATTGTCAAAAGAGTGTCTGCATGCGAAGAAGGAAGTCTGGTTTGTTTTCACAGGGTAAACACTGATAATGTGGATTGTTCTTTTGGGTTCTCGTTGATTTGATTATACCTTGCACATTGCCTTCGGGTTTTCTGTAGTTCTGGAGCATCAGGGGAGGACGTCATGATATTGCTAGCAGCGAGAGAGATTGTTTGTGCCGACATTGTTATCATATCCGAGCAGTGAGAAGAGAAGAACAGACCGGGGGTTGTTTTGAGGTATTGCACTATTCTTATTCGGACTTAGTCTATCACGTGAGTTTAAAGCGGCGTATCGTACGAGGAGTGTCTCCTCCGGCGCGCTTTTCTGATCCTGACTTCTATGCAGGCTCCAGCACTATCTCTACTCTCTGTCATTTTCTCAAACTGATGTCAAACTGATGGGCGGCGCATCTACGAGATAATTTGTTTTGGACTACCAGATGACCCACACCCCTGGAGGTGGGATCAAAGTATGATGTCGGTAAATTCGCAACTCCGCAACTATGTTGCCTCGGCAGTCAAATATCATAAAGGATTGACCCCTCTAGGCTGGAAATGTGTAACTCATCTGAGCATCATCCACACTGACTCGTTCCACTAGAAGAGACGATTGAATATCTGCCCAAGCGCGTGAATGCTGACCGATACAACCTTTCAGATGGCCAGCCCCAACGTCAGCGCAATTCCCTTTGCAGAACCCAGCTACCTTCGAGGTCTGCCCTCGCCTTATTTTCGAGAAACGCACTTGAACTTCCAGAAGAGATGTCGTGCCTTTTTGGAGAAGCATTTCCTACCGTACGCACTTGAATGGGAGACCGCGGGGACGGTGCCGGAGCATGTCTGGACCACGTTCAACCAACACAACATGCTGCTTCCTAACTTAAACTCGCCTTTGCCAGTGAAGTGGCTGAAACGCCTCGGCATCAACGACATACTCGGTGTCTCTGTCGAAGAATGGGATTATCTTCATACAGCCATCTGGGTTGTCAGTCAATGCTCTAGCCTATTCTCTCATCCTTTTCCTGACCAAACATAGGACGAAAGAGCCCGGACAGGTATTTCGGGGCCGGGGTCCAGTCTCTCTCCGGGATTCGCATACGCCATTCCTCCCATTCTCAATTTCGGCTCTCAGGCCCTCCAAGAAAAATTCCTCCCTGAATTACTCCCGGGTCATGCCCGAGCATGTATTGCGATTACGGAACCTCAAGCCGGGTCCGATGTCGCAAACATTCAGACGACGGCGATCAAATCAGCCGACGGAAAATATTTCATTATCAATGGTGAGAAAAAATGGATCACGAATGCCATCTGGTCCGACTATGCGACTATGGCTGTCAGGACCGGTGGACCCGGGCCATCGGGTATCAGCCTGGTTGTCGTCCCCTTGAAAAATAGCCCAGGGGTCACCATGCGACGGCTACAAGTCAGTGGCCAACAAGCTGGCGGCACTACGTATATCATCTTGGATGACGTGAAAGTTCCAGTCGAGAATCTGGTCGGTAAAGAAGGTGAAGGGATGAAGTACATTATGACCAATTTCAACCATGAGCGTCTGTTGATTGCTATGGGCGTCACCCGACAAGCCCGTGTGGCCCTTTCTACCGCCGTGGAATACGCCATGAAGCGAGAAGCCTTTGGCAAGACATTAATGGACCAGCCTGTGGTCCGACATCGACTTGCCAAGGCCGGAGCTGACCTTGAAACGCTGCAATCTTGGATTTATGAATTTGTCTACCAGTTGAACCATATGACAAAGAAAGAAGCAGATGTGAAGCTAGGTGGACCAACAGCACTTTTGAAAGCGAAAGCGGGAATGGTGTTCAACGAGTGCGCTCAAACAGCCGTTCTGATATTTGGTGGAAATGGATATACCCGAACTGGTCAAGGCGAACTGGTCGAGAAGATCTATCGGGATGTCATGGGGGCTCGTATTCCTGGAGGGAGCGAGGATGTGATGTTGGATTTATCAATTCGACAATTGGTCAAGAACTACAAGAAAGGACTCGGTAAAACGGTCAATAAACTTTGAGATTGGTGGGAATGTGGAGATACAAAATGGGGCCTCAAGGGAAAAGGCCCCAAAGGGAAAACACTAAATCTGCACATTCATAAGCCAATAGGGACATGCTTATACTCCATCTCCTATCCTACCAATACGTCTTGGGGTAATTAGCACAGTAGCACCGTTCTATTGCCAAGCGAGCGACTTATCTTGGAGTGGAACAATATAAACACCATCGGAGATCCGCGTTGATGATACAGTAATTACTATTTAAGTTGCGTCGAGGACAAACAGACATGCCAGATCTCAGTCGAATTCTCTTGTCCATGAATAGTTCGACTACTTTGATGTACGTTGAAGTTTGATTGACGGTGTCTCGGTAACATTTCGATTCGCCATGAGCACCCGTAAGCTTTCAACCTCGGAAGTCCGTACACACAATACAGACACCGATTGCTGGATCATTCTGAACGGCGTGGTATGGGATATCAGCGGATTTGCCATTAAGCACCCCGGAGGCCGCGAGGCCATCGAAGAGCATTTCGGACAAGATGGGAGTCACGTCTACAACGACATTCACAGTCCGGGCCTGGTAGAGAATTATTTTGGGTCAGCGAGGAGAATAGGTTTCCTGGAGGACGCAAAGTCCCAGACGAGCGATAGGAGCCCCAACAACGACAACAGAGAAGAGAAGACGGATTCAAAGCCAGACCTCGATTCCATCATCAGCATTTACGAGTTCGAAGAGGTGGCCCAGACAGCACTGAAACCAAAGTCCTGGGCCTACATCTCCGGCTCAACCGAAAATGGGTTCACTAAGAATGCGAATGCGGACTGGTACCAACGCATCTGGTTTCGGCCGAGGGTATTGACAGGTGTGGGGACGGTGGACGTGAGCACGACGATTCTAGGGCAGAAGTGTGCCTCGCCCATTCTCAATGCGCCGACCTCGTCGGTCAAGCTGGCCCACCCGGACGGGGAGTTGGCATGGGCGAGAGCGTTGTCGGCGTGTGGGAACCCGATGATCATCCCGACCATGTCGTCTTATTCAGTCCAAGAGATCGTCGGAGCCCTGCCGAATGGCCATCCGTTCTTCTTCCAACTCTATGTCCACAGTGACCGGTCGGAATTGGAAAAACTTCTCACGGAAGTCTGCAAAGTGCGTCCCCAGGCGATTTTGGTCACGGTGGATTTACCTGTGATGACGAAGCGTGAAGGCTATGTGAAATACCTGGTCCGACATGGAGAAAGGAAGGCGACGAAACCAGCGCCCACGACGGCGCCCGTGAAGCCCGTGTACGAGGCAATTGATCCCGACCTGACGTGGAGGGATATAAAATATATCCAAGAGCGCACAGGGTTGCCGGTCTTTGTGAAGGGAATTCAGTGTGCCGCAGATGCCCGACGAAGTTATGAGCTGGGTTGTGCTGGGATATACATTTCCAACCACGGCGGACGCGCGTTGGACACGGCGCCACCTTCGATCCTGACTCTCTTGGAAATCCAAGCTAGCTGTCCGGAAATCCTAGATCACATGGAGATTTTCATTGACGGGGGCATTCAGCGGGGCACCGATATCTTGAAAGCGATCTGCTTAGGTGCCAGTGCTGTCTGTCTCGGGAGAACATTTCTCTATTCGTTGGCATATGGAGAAGATGGTGTCAAGCATGCCATCAGAAGTGAGTTTGAGATTTAACGAATCCACGGTCAACGCTGACGTTTCCACAGTCCTCGAGACCGAGCTCAAAGTCGCCATGCAACTGGTGGGCATCACGAGTCTGGAACAGGCACATCCAGGTCTTTTGAATACGACGGAGCTTGATACATACATTCATCGAGGAGATGATCATCCGTGGGCACGAAAGGTTCGACGATCCAAGTTATAAGAACCGCGCGAATTGAGGAGACTTGGCCACTCAGCCTGATGTCCTGAGGAAACGAGGTGGATAAAAGTTATTACAGAGATGTCTTTGAACGTTGAGATAGACCTAAAGAAGAGAAAGAGGAATACAAAATGGCATCCAATCCGGGCCTCCCAACGTAAGTAATAGGCTCCTTGTTTTGAGTCCTACTGTAGGTACGCCGTACACAGGTCTGGCCATGAGAAAGCCCGGGTGCGTGCCTATCTAATGCCAGCAAGTCTTGCCCCTGTATTGTCTTTGATTGGAGTATTCGACAGCCAGTGGCCACCAGCAGGGAAAGATTGCAAGTCACGATCAATTTCCAGTTCATATATAATTACCTCTCTGACCTATTAGGGTCCTCCGGTTCATCACGACATTGTCTCGTTCCCCCCGAGACCATTCATGCCACCCACAATACGAGACAAGGCGTCTTCTCCCGTTGGGCCACGTCCCTAGGCGAATACCAAACCGTCGCCGAAGCCCTTTGATCAATCTCTCATCCTAACCTGTTCCTGCAGTGGACAGTCTGAGAGGAGAAAAAACGGCGAGAGCACTCTCCATCTGCTCTCTGATACGGTGCACCGCTTCTTCCAGCCGCCTACGGAACTCTGGGTGGCTCTCGCTCTCCAGGGCCACATTTTCGTTCCTCAAGGTATCCAAATCACGTTGAACGACGGTAAGATGTGTCGCTATCGCTTCTTGGATCTGATGGTCCAGGTCGCGGCTGAGTTCGGAGATCCTGTTCCGAAATTTCCTCCGGATGTTGGGGAAGAGTTGATTACTACCAAATCCTTGCCGCATTGTGCTCTTGCGCCTCGCGTCGCTTCCCCGACCTGCGATGTCCGTCATATGAGTATCTCAACTTACGTTGGTCATCGGGCAATATGTGCTGTGAACTAACCGCTATCATTTTTGCACGTGTTATATGATGGTTCCATTAGCTGGCCCACAAACGAGCTGCGAATGCCGGAAAAGAGGTCGGTCTGGAGAATTCTACTCGACCAGTTAGCTTTACGAAATGTAACGGTTGGGAATACGGGGTTTCCTACGATATGTCGTCTTGAAATTCATCGCCTAACTTGTCGACATGAGACACGAGCATGGCTTGTCGGTGTCTCAATGTGGCGGTCAAAGTTCTCAGGGAACCCGTTGGAACGCTGGTGGCATTCGCTGATATCCTCATCAGCAGCTGATCCGTCCCTGACATGAAAAAATGGGATTGATAACCTACATTGAGCTATCGCACGATCGAAACTTCCTTCAATCGTCCTGGACAGATTGGCTTGCAAAGCGAGGAGATTTTGGTGAAAAGCTTGCCACGGAGTTGCCATCTGGGTAATCATGGTTTGCGTGGCTTCAACGTTCCAACAATGGCTTCCTGCCGCTATGGTGGAATAATTCCCGTAATTCCGACAAAAGGCAGAGTAGGAATCTGACAAGAAATTAACACTCCTCAAGGAAAGAGGGTGTGGGGTGAAGGAAATCAAGTCCTTACTAGGATGCCACTGTCATTGTTTCTATTAGCTGTCGTATGGTAGGAGACGTGTTCGATGTTGGAGTGACTTACCCCTTCCCATTCAGAAGTCGCGTTCAGCGCAGCTCGACTCCACTGATCCGAACGTTGAACTGCTCGACCGTTAGCGTAATGAACTTTTTTTTTTGGAAAGTGGACTCCTGACCCATAATGGGGGACATTTGCTCCTTGAACTGCCGTTCCATTGAGTATCCAGTGGTATTGACAGCAGATGTTGGGAGTCTCAGCTTTTCGAAAACTTTGAATTAGACCAACCAAGCATCCTCGAAAACTTTTTCCCGTAGAAACTTACGGTATCTAATTCCCGCTCGATCTCATCCAGGGCATTGCGAATGGCTTGCTTTCTTTCGGCGCTCACGCTCCCGGAGCCAGATTGAACCCAGAGTTCAACCGATCCGAGCAATGCTGGAATGGCATTCGTTACGTACTCAGTTGCTGCGTGAAGCTGGCTCGCTGCAACAAGCGAAAGGCAATGTTTCCGAACTTCTGGAATGCCAGACAAACAGAGGAAAGGCCAAGACTCTACTTTTGGTCTCGCCCGATGCTCCCAATAATCCACATTGCTGACGCAGAAGACTGGTAAGTCGGCTCTAGGTATCTGGTTCTGATACATCGTCTGAAGCGCGTCTGTGACTCTTTGATTGCGGGTAGTGATAAGATAATTTTTCAACCTGGAGTGTTTCTGAGTCAATGTTCAATAGAAATCTCAGGGCACGTCGACTTACTCGAACTTTTGCATATCGAGGTGTTTTCTGGGAAAAGAAACCATGAGCATGGGCGTCAGAGCCTTCCTCGTCGAGGTTGAAAAACTTACTTTATTTTTCTGGAGCGGGCGGTTAGTCGCCGCAGCTGTTGGTTCTCCTCGTCATCCACCGCATCACTGTCAAAGCTCAGTTCACTTATTTCGGCCTCGATCGTATCGAGGTCTGTTTGGAGGTTCCCAATCTCCCTGGTCATGTTGCTGATTTTCATTTTCGTGTCCCCCTCCCAATCTCGCTGCGCTTCGTCTGCTAGAATATCCTATGTGAAATGTTAGTGGTACAGACTGTTGTGAAGTGGATTATAGTTATGGCGCCGAAAACCCATCCGAGGGCTTCAAGACTTACATCAGACTTGGTGCAAATGATTCCAATTCGCGACAACGAAGCCCTCCGGGCGAGCTTGAATACTCCCTCCACGCCAGCATCCGTAGTGGCTCGACCGATATAACAGATGGCAAAAATCTCGTCGCACTTGAGTAAGTATCTTTCGGTGATTCTCAGCCGAGCCGCGTTGAGATCCCGAAGGCCTACCATTGTTAATAACAATGCGAAATACCCCGCAAAGAAAATGTCGCTCACCGGGGAGGTCAACCAGGATAAGGCCCTTGCTCAGAATGTATGCGTTGAGATAAACTCTGGCAACATTAGCGATGTACATTTGGAATCGAGTAGGCACTCCACTGGATTCACGAACTTGATCTTTCTAATGAAGGGCCACTTGGAGGGTTCATTCGGGGAAATTGGCTCAGAGGTCAGCCCCATCAAGTGGTCGGAGCACTTGCGTGCATCATCAAAAACTTCCTTTCTCGGGTTCCCACCCGGGCCTTTTGTCAGAGGCAGGCCCGAGCTCATCGCCCATGTCAGCAATGTCTGGACCACATTCTCCTCGGGCTCATCAAGAAGGAATCGGTCGCTGTGCGCCAGGTGATCCCGAAAGGCGGCACGGAATGTATCCTGAGCAGCCTGAGCAGTCTTGGCTTTTTCCTCGAGCTCATGGCGTTCATCCGCCGTCATACGGTTATCGTCAGGCTCACGAAGATGGTAATGTCGGTATGATTGCAGGAGTTCGGTTAGCTGCTCCCGAAGCTCGTCCAGAGTGAAGTATTCGATTTCGAGGGCAAAACTATTATGCTCGTGGTAATGATACTCAGTGGCAACGCATGTGCATGCCGCACCGCTGTTGCTCTATTGCCAACGTCTAGGTTAGCTTAGCAATAAAACGACCGCCGAAAAGGCGGTGCTATCCACTCACCGTACGGGCAAACCCCTCGAAATCCAACAGCGAATTCAAGAGACTACTTTTGCCTGACGACGGTAAGCGACATATCCAGGCCGTAAGCCACATCAAGGCCACACATACCGACCCCGGAGTCTCCTACCAGGCCCACTGTACGGGTCGAGGGGTGTTGGAAACGACTGAGGTCAACAGCCTGCAAATACAATGTTCGTATACGAGACTCGGACTCATTGTGCAATGAAGAGCTCGCCAGGATATTCACCAAATCACCGACAAGGTCCCTTGAATGCGCCAGTTCTCGCTGGAACTCGGGCTCGTGGAATCGCTCGTGTGGAGGCTCTTCGTCAGCGACGTTGTGGGGTGTTTGGTCCACGTGGGAGCCCGAGCGACGTCGGGAGGCAGATCTCGGGCTTCTGGAGCCATCACGATGGATCACACCGGGGCTCGGTGATCGTGGATCAAGGTAGTTTCCGGGCGTTGGGGAGCGGGGTTTTGAACCTAGTTGGACATTAGCCATGACACCGGCGATGCCATCAATTGTGGAGCCTGGCGGAGAATATCCCTCATTCGTCGGAGTCGTCAGGCGGCTGGATGAATGGTCCTGTCCACTTCGTGAAGGAGTGGAAATTGTTTCTCTGGACGAAGATTGGCGTGTGGCCGACTCTCCAGATAGCACTAGATTTCCCACGCGCTCACCGATACCGGATATTTGGGATCTCGCAGGAGGGTTTGCTCCATAGGTTGGGGAAACTGAAGGGGGGAAGGATGTATTTTCCTCTGAAGTCGGAGGGGAAATAGAAAATGAAGGGGTCCGGGCCCGCGGAGTCGAGTTATTATGAGCAGTGAGGGATGATCCCAGATCAGGCTCTCCTTCAATCGAGGGGAGTGGTATGTCTGGGTCGGGATCGAAGGCAACGGGAACACTAGCAGATTGTGAAGCGTTACTAGTTGACGGTGTACATTGCCTTGACATGCTTGGATCGCTATCACTCGGGGGAGTGTGGGTGCGAGGGGACATGGCCAAGGCAGATGTATGGGCGTCAGCGGAAGATTGCTGGACCTAGTTAATCTTTGTTAGCTTTTCCGCGAGGCTGTCCTTCTAGATGATGGTAGAACGTACAGGTCGTCTCACCATGACTGCTGAATCCCTCTAAGTGGGAAAATGATGAAGAGCAAGCCAAGAGGTGTGGGAGAATACCGAGGACGGTCTATTTGCTGAAGGGATTTGGGAGAGGAAGATATATGCTCCGAGCATGTCGGGAATATATCGCAATCGTTGACCCCACCGGGTTAGGGGGGAGGGGAACATGGTAGCACTACCGTCGCAAGCCTGCAGCATACGGAACGTTCACTAACCCCAGGGTGAGGAGCTGACCGCCCGGGATGCATTTCTTACGACTTGACCTTGGGTTTCTCTGCTGAGACTATGGACCATGGCAATATAGATGTAACCGCTCAATTTCCGTGAGGAACAAGACCGCGGTGATCACGGGGAAGATGCATAAAACTGAAGTCTTCAAAGGAGCCAGACTGACTCGTCCAGCTCCTTTTCACTGGATGACTTTGGGATGGAGTTGAGGCAATACCCTGGGCATTATCCAGGGAGAACGATAGGGTGTTGTAGCAGTGACATGCATCTTACATTGGCGCCTAGCTTCAATAAGCGCCGTGGCGTAAACCTAGCGGGCTTCACAGGGCGTTTCGTACAGGACGGACTCGGGGAGATACTACTAGTTCCATCGTATGGAGTATGCCTAGTCAACTAACATGGTGTGTAGTGAGAGGCACACACTCGAAACATTCAAGCCCCGACGAACCGTACCGTACCAGAGTCCGCCCCACAGTTCCATCTTGCCACATCACCCACTTACATAGTATAAAAGACATACTATCTGATTGGGTGAGAGCTCGCATATCGGGCTTCGCCATTTTTTCGATCGGGGCTTCGCGGACCGGCGGGTAAATGTACACTTACCCTCTCGTGTGAGCCAGGGGTGAAAAATTGAAATTGCATCTCGTTCTATTTTTCATTCTGTCGACATGCCAATATCTTTTTCCCCCTGACACGACCAGAACACCCCGGGTTGTTGGGAGGAAATGAAGTTCTTAAAGAAAAAAAAAAAAAGACAAATCCCACCTTGTCCATACTGACCATGAGTCATCGCAGCAGCGACGACAGTCGTCGATTCGTGACCAGGAATTTTTTTCGTTGCTTCTATCTATGCTAGAGCTGGCCGTTTCATTCTGCACCAAAGCGAGCCAGTGTGGACAGGGAAGCTAGAATAATACCGAGCCTCGATCCATAGCTGGATAATAGTTCTGGCCGCGAGGCTTTCCACGGATCTCTACAGTCGCGACTTCACTGTGTGTCGTGGTTTGATTCATATGGAGACAATTGACATCCACACATTGGTGGTGAAAAAGGCGCATCATCATTGAAAAACACCTGCCCGGATCATGATGGCGTGAAACTCTTCCCGATTCACTCCCCTTCCCACTCCCTTTCCGCCATTCGCCTCGAGTATCATCGCCTTCAGAACATCGTCACTGACATCTTCCTTCAATGTCTTGGCCACCGCCCGCAAATCCGGCAGTCGAATGACTTGATCGTGACCCTGTCCCGGATGGAACAGGTTGAATGCGGCTTGGACCTCTTGGGCCTTGGTCTCATCCGTCTTCGACTTCAGCTGGATGGCGCACAGGGCGAGGAAATGCGGATATGTTACATAGCCAGAGGAATCGGGGTCCAAAATCTCGACGAACTCGCGCATTTGCGATTGATTGCTTGGCGCGAGTTCTTGGGCTCTGTCGAAAACAATAGCCGGTTAACTCGGGAAGGGCCCAGAATAGGATCGGCGTCACATACTTGAGAACACTCCTCACCTCGGTCGTCCGAATGACACCGTCTTTCTCATCTTCGTAGCCCTCGACATCGTCGAGCCGGAAGAGATTCCATGCTTCTTTGATCTCCGTCTCTTCTGCTGCGGTGATGTCGTTCTCTTTTGCCAATTTCGACCGTCGAGACCTCGAGGCCGATGGGGTGTGATCTGACGTGGACTTGACAGCGGGGGCCTTGCCCTTGGACGGCGCCTTGCGCGGTGGCTCAGGTTGGGTCAGTTATGGGGTGGAATGAAAGAAAACTCCGAACCCACCATTATCAAGGTAGACACGGGATAAGGCTCGAGAGCCAGGACGTTGTGTGGCGTGGTGATGGATGAGAGGATGTCGAGACCAAAGAATTACAAGGGTGGTTGACGTAGTTTTGCCGCCTGATTTACGGAGTACGGCGCCTCCATCAGCTTTTATGTTTTTCCTTTTCTCACCCGTCATTACGCCCTCAGATTCGGTTGACATGATGCGATAACCCATCTCTCCTCATCATGGACGTCCAGCTTTACGTCTATGACTTGTCTCAGGTATGGCCCAAGCTGCCGCCATGGCATCCTCTTTCGCGTCTCACATTTTCCCAGGGCCTTGCGAGGCAATTCTCTCAAGCATTGACGGGCATCCAAATCGACGCCATTTACCATACCGCCATCGTCTTGAACCATGTTGAATACTTCTTCGGTCAAGGAATCCACAGGAAAATCCCCGGTACCACGCACCATGGTCGACCCATGAAAATTATCAACCTGGGAAAGACCGAACTCCCTCTCGATGTCATCGAGGAATACGTCGAATCTCTCGAACATATCTACACTCCTGAATCCTACGACTTGTTCCTGCACAATTGCAACAACTTTACTCAAGACCTGGCCATGTTTCTGGTCGGGACGAGTATCCCCGATGAGATTCGGACGCTGCCCGAGACCTTTCTGAACACCCCCATGGGGCAGATGCTGCGTGGCCAGATCGATCAATCCATGAGGACCATGACCCAGGCTCCCGATGCTGTTGCGGGCCGGCATGCTATCAGAAATCCCCCCGCTGCAAAGACCGAACCAGCGACACGTGGATCGAAACCACATAGTGGAACGGCTCACAGGGTTACCACTCCCGGCATCATCAACGCCCGGCCCCCGGCCGACTCTCCAGGTCACGTTCACAACATCTCTTCACTCTCGGAACTGGATCGCCTCCTCGAATCCTCACGCCAGTCCTGTGCCGTCATATTCTTCACCTCCGCCGCTTGCCCACCCTGCAAAATAGTCTACCCAACCTACGACGACCTTGCCGCCGAGGCTGGCTTCCAGAGTGGGGCGAAGCTGATCAAAATCGACGTCTCGGCCTCTCCCTCGACGCAGGCCGTGGCCCAGCGATACCAAATCCGCGCCACTCCCACGTTCATCACCTTTCTGAAAGGCGAGAAGCACGAGGAATGGTCTGGTGCCAACACGGCACAGTTGAAGGGAAATGTTCGACTGCTCCTGCAGATGGCCACACCACCACCACACCGGCACTCGAAGCTGAAACTGCCCACGTTCCAGCGGATCATCGAGACGCCGATTATGTACACGCGCACTCCACCGCTGGACAAATTGCTGGCGAAAATTGGGTCGAGCTTTTCTCAAGATCCGTCCGTCCAAGATCTGGTGGTGTATATTCAAACTCGCGACGCCAAGGGCATGAACGAAGCGCCGCTACCCAACCTCCACAACTTCAGTACCTATCTCGCCACGGTCTTTCCTGCTCTCCCCCAAGAATCACATTTCGCCGTCATTGACCTTGTTCGTGTCGCCGCAGTGGACTCCCGCGTGTCATCCTTTTTCGTCACCGAGCATGACCATAGAACTCTCTCGACACTGCTGACCGGCACCCGCGCTGGCGAGGACGTCTCAACTGCTCCCTACAATATCCAGTCCGTCTCGTTGCAATTAGCGTGCAACTTGTTCAGCTCCAATGTCTTCCAAGAACAGATCTTCCGAGACCAGAATGCGACGTCGCCGCCATCCTCACCTCCGTCAGGTCTGCGAACCAGTATTGAAACCGTCGCCGCGCAATGTCTCCTCTCTCCTCATCCCAACGCAAGATCCATGGCCGCGGCTCTCGTCTACAACCTCGCCGCCCACACACATAATCAACGAATGCACAATACGAAAGGACCGGGCGACGAAGAATCCACACCGAGTGATGATCTCTCTGCCGCGCTTCTTGAGTCCATCACTTCCCTCGCTTCCGGAGCGCAATCCGCCTCGTCGTCAACGCATATCAAGGAAACGCTTCACGCCCTCCTGCTTGCGTTGGGCATGCTTCTCTACGCCGCCCCGCCGGACAATATGCTCTGGGATCTCTGCCGGGCGATGGGTCTGCGCGAGGTCCTGAAGGAGATCACATCCTCGGGCTCGGGGCTGAGTGCCGAGGTCCAGGCTGAGCCGTTGTTGAAGGAGGTTGGCGATGAATTGTTGGGAAAGGGAGGATTTTAACCGGGCCTTATCACCACGGTGACGTGGTCATAGAAAGAAATTACAACTTTAGGAACGATGGCATATCTTTGGTCCGCAAGACGTCGTAGCAACGAATCCACCAAGGACCAACGAACTAATGATGTACGCAGGTGCCTGAGGATAGGCACGAGCTATTTATTAGCCTGAATCGAGAGACCCTTTTTGGCTCCTACCACGCATCCCGGTATGAAATATCTACTCTTCATGCAGGCGTTGAAACTCCCATATCCAGCCGACAGTAGAGGCCGTCTCCTTTTTCGAAGCAATACCTGTGTATCTCAAACCTCGATCCCCCCTGGTGTCAGCCATGTACCAAACTCTCTTCAGAAAAAAAAAAAAAAGCCGTTCGCTATGATACTTCTCTAATCCGACACTCCCAACCGCTTCCCTTCTCCAGCAAAGGCAGACTCGCGCCTAGACACCAACCGAGCTCATTCCCTTTGATTTTCTTTGCGATCTTGACTTCTCGATCAATCGGCATCTCGTAGCCAGTATGTAACAGTGCGGTCATGAAATTCAGGTCCAAGCACCATTCGGGCCGATCTCGTAAGTCGGCCAGCGCACCTTCGATCCCAGCAAAGGCATCCCAGCTTTTCTCACCACCACAGACCTTATTGGTGAGATCGTGAAGCTCTCTCAAGGTGAACGATTCAGGCATTCCCAGATCGTGTGTGCGGTCGTAGAAATATGAGAAAATGTAGACGTCTTCCCGAGCGAAGGTCTTTTCCAGCGACGGCTGGTGAACTCCGTTGAAAGAACACGGTGCAAGGGCGCATTCTTTGTCTTTGTACAATATTCCCTCGGCCAAGGCGCGACATTGGGCGGGTATGGCGTCCACCGGGCCTTCCATGATCACGCTGTGTTCACCTGCCAGCTCATGTTCCGGGGGCATCGTGACATTGACCTTCTTCTGGATGCCGGGGGTAATGCAGCTGTTCGGGATGGGTTTGGAAAGCCATGCCCTCGAATCGGGATTCTGCTTGTGCATGTGGTCCAGGATCGACGAATGGAGGGCTTTTCGCGCAGACATCAGGCCGTACCCGAGGTGAGAATGCTGGTAGAGTTCGAACTCACGTCCGCCGAACTGGAGCTTGTATTTGTGATCCCCTTCGGCCATGTGGGGGGGCATGCCTCCATCGGCACTGCTCTTAAAGGTCGGCTGGAAGACGATTTGCGTAGAGCCGCCTCCGAGGTCAAAGATGGCCGCGGTGGGGGTCTCGTCCGGCCCTCCAATCTTGCCCAAGAGGTAATTCGTCGTAATCCAGGCAAAAACGCCTTCGTCCTCTCCCTTCATGATTTCAACGCCGCCTTTCTCCCGCGAGACCACGGGGAAGGGATATGTTGTCTCTAGATGTGTCCTGACGGCCTCGAGAATCTTCGAACTCATTTCATCGCCCAGCAATCGTAAGCCGGCAGTGGCCTTCACCGCTACGGGTGTACACGACTTGTACTCATCCGGTACAGCGAACATGGCCACGTCCATCAGCGGATCTAGACTTCTGGCGGCGCCCTCGGCATCGGTCTTGTAGGAGCTCAGTCCTGAACCTTCAGGCCTCTTCTCTGTCATCTTAAATTCTTCATTTTCTAGCTCCGGTGTCGGCCCGCAATGGTTGAATTTGTACACGTGAATTCTGCTTCCCGTACTCCCGGCATCAACCATAATCGCATACTGAACAAGTGGTTTGGAAAGGTCATGAGGCTTCGTACATCGCGTCGTCGGAGAGTCGCTGGGGGTGTAGATATTTTTCGAGTCGGAGCTGCTTCCTCCCGAAAGAAGCCAATACAGGAGGACGATTAGGGTCAAGACTCCTCCGGTCTTGACATAGCGTGCCTGCCGACTTTGTGTCATCCAGGCGTTTCGTATAGACTCCAGGATGGAAGGATGGCTCACGCCGATTCCACCTGGATGGCGGTCGGATTTTTCAAAAGGGTCCCAAGGCGTGTTGTGGGAACCAATGTTGGCCGAATGTCCGAGGGGGAGGCCACTGGAGGCCGAACGACGACGTGGAGAGGAGCCAAAAGGAACGTAGGACCAGATTCCCGATTGATCGGAGGAGTGGTACGAAGATGACATGGACAGAGGAAGTAGAGGGGAGATGTTGAAGAAAAGTTGTTCGAGGACAAAGTTGCAAGGGGTATTTTACGGGGGGAAGATCATACACAGCCCAACGAATCGGGGGATCCTGCAAATTCTCTGGTGAGTGGGTTCTCTCCCTGTAACCATCATCGAGCAAACACTCTCATCTTCTCTCCACAGCCTCACGCTGGGATGCGGCGGCTTTCGTTGTTGGTTCAACCGCTCTGGCGGGCCTTGGTGCCTGCGAGACCGCGCCCAATACAACAATTATATCCTCTCTCGACCAGGTCCTTCTCTGTCTCGAATCCTCGACTAGCCGCTCCGCCACGCCCTGGGAAAGTCCAGATCTTAACTATCGAGGACAAGATTAACGATTTCGTTCTTGATGAGAATATCGAAGCACCTCAAGTCCGGCTGAAAACCCCGGATGGAAAGCTCTCGGACCCGACCAACCTGCATCAATTGCTCGGCTCGATCGATCGCTCGACCAGCTATGTGATGCAACTGGCCAATCCTGAACACCAGCCATTCGCAATCGTGCAAATTGTGCAACGTGCGGATCTTGTCAAGAGGATCAAGGACAAAGAGGCGAAGGAACGACAGGCGAAGCACGCGCAAAGTCAGAAGAAGCCAAAGCAAATTGAACTCAATTGGGCAATCAGTGGCAATGATCTCCAGCTCAAGATGAAGCAGATGCAGGAATTTCTGCGGAAAGGAAAGAAAGTGGAGGTCCTGCTGGCCAACAAGAGACGTCAACGGAGGGCCACACCGGAGGAAGCGGAATCTGTTTTACAGACCGTCAAGCAAACGGCACAGGATGTTGGGGCCATCGAGGTCGCTCCGATGGAGGGAGCAATTCTCAAACAGGCGACCGTGGTTGTCAAGATTCCGTGAGCACGAGGAGGACGAGTCCATGGGCTATGAACATCCGCCATCCGACCGGCACATGGCGATGACCAACAGATCATCCCCAATTGACTCGAACAATGGGTTACGCAGTTCCGATGCTCTTCCCTGGATTGACCACATCGTCTTCGAGGACCGGCCACGGGGAAGAGGATAGCGGAAGCCGCATCTGAGATCTCCTCCCACTCAATCTGGACACGACGAGCACCCCGTGCCAATGTCTCTTAAAGGACTCGCGCGCGCGTCTGGAGATGGGATCCGCGTTAGCGCTCCATATCGACGAATACTTCCACGGAAAGGATATTCAGACGAACACCCAACGGGGTATCCGGTGTCCTTCAAGCTGAATAATTGGCGTGATGATCACCATCGTGCATATTATATGTCAAAATACACGACCATCAGATCTGGTATGGTCCTAAACGTACAGAGTCATAAAATTAGAATGCAAGCCTTGTTCCCACCTTCAACTGGTCAACCAGCCAGACCCAGTGACCAAATGGCTGGCGCTTTGAGAAATGGCACTGTCGATTTCCACCTTGAACTGTACACTGACTTCCCACTTCTGTCCACTGCTTCCTTGTCCATAACCTCCACTCAACCGGTTTCGGATCAGGCTGGTGATCCTCTCCCTGAGTTTCACCAAATTCTCCTCCGTCCCAACGACCCGGAGTCGCAAATTCGCCATGCCCATCCCATAATGCGCTTGCCAAAATTTGGCTTGCTCGACACTGCGGACAAGGGGTTCGGCTTCAATGGCTTGAACCACTTCTGACACATGCGCCGATTTGGAGGGCAGGGACATGAGCAGCATTGCCCCCACATTTCGACCCAAATGCACACCAAGGAAGAGCATGCTCAGAGCGATGCTCAAGGAGAGGACCTTATCCACCCATGCGTAGGTGTGCAGGGATAGAAGGGGCAGCATCAGCATCGTCCCTGAGCAGGAGAGGGTCAGGAAATGGGAAGGATTGCTCAACAAAGAAGGAAGATTCTCCATGGCCGCGAATCGCATGGCTTTTCCGATGCGGGCATGATTTTGCAACCCGACGGCGGAGATCAAGGTCGCCACCAGTGCCAGCATGGCTGTCACATCGACGGTGCCGGCAGAAATGCGCTCGTGCGTATGTGGATGGTGTGGTTCGTGACCGATGCCTTCGAGGGCGTGCTTGGCATTGTGTGATATCAAGTCGAATCCGAAGAAGATCAACAATACCGACAAGGCAAATCCCGCCACCACTTCCATACGTTGCAATCCAAAGGGATGCCTCACGCTCGACCGACCCCAGACTTCGAAATTGGACAGAATCTCGACAAACACGCATAACAGGGCCCCGAGCGAATCGTAGAACATCAGATGGGACAATGCCTCCATTGCTGCCGATCCATGCGCGTTCCACGCCGTGTAGCCGGCCACCGCCATGTGACAGATAGTCCAATAGAAACGCAATTTTTGATCCTTGGTCATGCTTGCTCGGCATTCGGCGAAGGTCGGAATGGGGAGGGAATTGGGAAGGGCTAAGGGGGCTCGCGGAGGAGGTTCGAGAAATATCTGGTGTGAAACACTACTGTGCTTGTACTTGTGACCGCGTCTCTGGCCGATGTTCTGTGTCGAGGAGGAAGTTTAAGTCAGCAACTCGGCGTGCAGTGCCCGCTGGGAAGGGTGACGAATATTGCCCCAATGTTTTTCCATGCGCGGGGAGGCAGTCAGGGAAAATTGAGATCCACGAACAGATTTGATCACTGGGGACTTCGCCATTGTCGCTGGCTGGAAGTTGAAGGGGCCAGCTCCATTTCCACCGAGACTCTGTTTCTCCGAGATTGTGGGTGAAAAGTACGTGTTCCCGGGAGATAACATCATGTTATCGTGCTCATACTGATGAGGCGACAGGGAATTGGGGTCTAAGGGGCCTTCTGGGTCGAAAGAGGATGCTTCGTCAGACGGAGGAGTGGGAGTTCGAGGAGGGAGCGGAATGGGCATGGTATTGGCCATGCCGGGCGTCAGGCCCCAAGGAGCCTTGATGGAGTACAAAATAAATGTCTAAGCGCCGCGTAACTGTGGAAAACTCATGGTGCTGGGGAAAGAATACAGAATGAGAAGGTGAACGACTTGGTAGGCCGCCTTCGACAAACCTTCCCGGCTGGCGGCGAAAATCCAATTCTCCGACTGGTTGCTTCTGTCCATCTGTCTTTCTCCGCGCCCATTTATCCCGCCGCATCGTCCTTCTACCGCGTTGAGATGAACCCCCGGGTCCTATGGTTCGGTGGATGGAGGGCTCACGCGTTGCTCTCCTATGCCTCTTGCTCCTATTTATCTTCCTCACCCCCGATCAGCCTAACCAAAACCGTCTTCAACGTCGCCTTGACAAAGTCAACGAACAGCGTCAGGTTGAACTCGATATATTGTTCAACTCGTCCTACGGTCAGTTCGATCCGAAAACGAATGGCTGGCTGAACCTCACCGGTTTTCACGAGCACGATGGGTATCGGTGGGAGTGGCTTGGGACAGCCCAAGAGCTGAGTCAGAAGCAATTTGAGCGGGCTTGGACGGGCATTGATCTGAACAATGACCTCCCAATCTATGACAAGGTCACCGGAGAGATTCGAGGGAAGGTATTTCGACAAGACATCCCGGCGTCGGCTCATTCTCTCAACCTGACCGCTCTCGAGCCCAAGAAGGACTATATGTCGGCCAAGTTCGAGAGAAACATCACGGAGAAAGAGAGCGAGCTCGGTTTGTCCATCTATGACTCTCAAGAACGGCCGCGCCACGAGGCTTCAGCCATCAAAGCTGATCTCTCCATATGGACCAAATCTTCCCCGGGCAATGGCTGGCTTGCCCATGTCCAAGGCGTCCATTTCCCATCTGGTCAAATTATCATGACCACCACCAGCTCCAAATTTAACTCGTTGCCAGCATTCCCCCATTTGGCACTCAATGCCGATGGTTTCCATGCTACCAAATCCATCATGAACGAAACGATACACAAACTTCAGAAGACCTCCGACGACGGACTAGATGGATTCGCCTTTGCCCCACAGTGCGAGCTCATTGTTTGGTTGCAGCCGCTCCCTCACCAATTCGACGGTCTGACTCCGATCCAGACACGTGAATTCCTTCAACAGGTTGAACAGGAGCTCCAACAGCCAGAAGGGGCGCCCATTGGCCCGCCACCGCCCCTGGCGTTCTCGGCGGTCATATTCTCTCCGGATTGTGGCTACATTCTTGGATCCGATTCCATCTTTGGACCCAAGGTCGAGACATACTGGGCCCTGGCACAACGGCTGTTGTTTTCGTTCATCATGGTCGTTGGTCTGCAGATCGCCCTTTTGAAGCGCCAGATGGAGAAGGCGGCCACACCGTCGACACGAAGCCGCATAGCGTACAACACGATCGTCATTGCCGCCCTGGGAGACGGTTTGTTTCTGTTTGCCCTGATTGCTCTCCTCATGATTGACGAGGCGGCGTTCCTCATGGTCGCTTCAGCGGCCTTTCTCTCCTGTATTCACGTGGCATTTCTGGAAGTGAAGTTTGTCTTCGACATATGGACGGTTCAGGTGGATGCAGAACGTGAAAGACAAATTCGAGAGGCCGCCCATTCCGCTCCCGCTCCTCCGGCCGCGCCGACCACCACTCCTGCATCAGAAGCAAATGAACCCGACCGTCGGGCTCCCTCCGCTCCGTCTCCCGAACGGCCAGCACCAGATGCAGATGAATCAGCCGGTCTTCCTCTTCCGGCCACGGCGCCGCGACCAGAAGACGCCACGCCGATCATTATTCCGTCGGACCAGGACACTCCCGTGCCAGCGCGAGATCCCCGCCGGCGGTCATTTGCACAGATGTATAGCAGATTCTACTTCTCCCTCGTCATGCTCATGTTTTTTTCACTGTGGGCGATGTCATGGCCACGAGCCTTACGTTCGGCTTATGCGAACTTCCTTGTCTTCTGCTACTTTTCATTCTGGTGGCCGCAAATTTACCGCAACATCATGCGAAACTGTCGCAAGGCTCTGAGCTGGGAATATGTTCTTGGATCCAGCGTCCTCCGAGCCGTCCCGGTTCTTTACTGGTATTTCGCGGATCACAACATCCTGTCCATCGACCCCAGTCCTCCCACGGCTGTGATCATGCTAGGCTGGCTGTGGCTTCAAGTCGCCCTTCTTGCCAGTCAACAATTTCTCGGCCCTCGTCTTCTGGTGCGCGATTCGTGGTGTCCACAAGCCTACGATTATCACCCGATTCTCCGCGAGGACGACGTGGAAGCAAATGGCATGTCCCTCGGTCTCTTAGCCTCGGCATCGGAGGCCAAGGACAAAGATGATAAGACTCGAAAGGTGTTTGACTGTGCCATTTGCATGAACGAGATTGATGTTCCCGTTTTATCCCAGACCGATGGCGCCGGGGGCGGAGCGGCCTGGCTGGAGCAGAGGAACTACATGGTCACGCCTTGCAGACACATTTTTCACGCCGAATGCCTGGAGGGTTGGATGAATCTGCGACTCGTTTGTCCTGTGTGTCGAGAGGCATTGCCACCATTGTAGCCATTCTGAATCTGCTCTACGAAGCCGGTACAACCTTGTGCATCATCACCCCTTGAGGATCCTTGGATACACGGTCACCCCAATCAGCCTGCCAACCATGCTCGGCAAGGTACAATTTCCATGGTTCATCCTCGTCGTCTAATCGTCTACTCACGTCCGGAATCACGAAAAGAGCGATCAATGCCCCGACGACGGCAAATGCGGAACCGATCAAGAAAGCTGTTTGGCCGCCTTTTGAGGAATCGGTGTACGAATTGAGGATCGCCGTGAAGACCTGAATGGTGTCAGTGGCCTTTTCCCCGGTTCAGAGAGAGAGAGAGAGAGAGAGAAAGACGGTGGGCATATTACCTGGGTTCCAATGGCAGCGCCTGCTTTGGACCATGCCGAGACAAAACCCATCATCGATCCCCGGATCGAGGTCGGAAAACACTCAGAAGCGGTGAGGACCACCGTACTGTGCGGCATCTATCAGTATCTCCAATCACCAGGTCACGTATATGCTCCTCTTACCTTCCTGGACCAACTTCACCTAGCGTCAAGAAAAGGCCATACAACACCACAAACAGCGGGAAAACATTTTGGATCTTTTCGTTGGCCCCTCCTAAGATGAAGCCCAAGGCGGCCTGCAACCCAAAACCGAGGGCCATGGTCTTTCGTCTTCCGATTTTGTCGGAAAGATATCCTCCGAGAAACGGGCCCGGAATGTAAAAGCAATTAATGACCACTCCCCACCCGAGACTCTTCACCAAAGAATCCGAAGCGTTGACTCTGGAAATGATGGTCGAGGAGAAGATTCCAAATGGAACACTGATATAGTTGTACAAGAACCAGGTGGCGCAACAGCCAATCAAAGCTCGCCCGTATCTTCTCACGGCGAGAAGATAGGGGACTTTCTGCTTTCGCAGGGCCGATTTGCGGTATGCCGTCGAGACGGCCATTCGGATGCGAAACCAGAATATCGACACGGGCGGGATCACACCGAGAGCGAAACTCAATCGCCACACGAGGTTGTAATGGGCGACTTCTTGCTGGACACACAGCAACAGAAGCAGTGGCACAAGGCCACCCCAGACATATCCGAGAGATGATGAAAGATCAGCCAGCATGGCGAACATGAAGCCTCTCCTCTTCCGATACTGTTTGCCTTCATCGGTTGCTTCAGTGGCGCCCGCTCCACTGACGGGATATTCACCTCCAGCCCCGACTCCTGCGACACCTCGCGCAATCACAAGCATCCAGAGGAGCCCCGTGTCCGTGGTCCCGTTCGCGGCAGTGCTGAGCGCAATACCCAAGACCAGTAATACTGTGGTGGCCACAGCACCGGTTTTACGTCCAAGCTGGTCGGCGACGAGGCCGAACAAGAGCATGCCGACGATCATGCCGATGAGGAAAGCATTAGACAGCCGAGAATACATGGTATCGGTCAAGGCGTCCGGATAGAGGATCGCCAGGAGGAGTTCGACATTGCCGATCACGGCGGCATTACTAGACTCGGATCAGCGAGAGCCCGGAAATGACGGGGGAAAATATCCATACTATCCATCAGAACCGATTGCGAGACCAGAGAACAATATCATTAACCACACCGACTGTTTACTATAATACGTTTTCTGGGGCTCTGCATGGCTGATGATTGCGTCGTCCGTAGATACCGTCACTTCTGCTTTCTCGATCGAGGGTTCTTGGTTCTTTGGTGGCAGAGCTGGGTCAATGGTGTCCATGGTGTCCATGGCGAGTCAGGGCCTTCTTTCTCAATTTCCCGATCTCAACGAGCATCCCAGTAATCCTCTTATATGCGATGTCCCGGCAAATGGCCGTTTCGCCTATTTGATCTTCCATCAAGAATGGGGGAAGGCGGGGGTGGCCGTTGATCGACGAGATATCTGCGGACAAGTCCAGTGGAGGATCAAGCTTTGAACTCCGAAGGTTGCATGATGTGACATGGATCAAAGCTGAGTGACCCTGGTCAACCTTCGAGCAGACTGGGGGCTTTGCCCCCCCGATAACGTATACCCCGGGCGCCCACTGACGATCTGAGTGGCTACAATCTGAGCCATGTGGAAGAGATTCAATTGCCGATAGCAATTTGTTTTCTCTAGAACATTACTCCTCGCTTTTCGTGCCCGGTGATATCGCCAGCATGAAAGAGCACATTCAGCGTCGCCTCTTATTCTCGCCTGAACTTTCATCTTTCCGACAATGCCTTCTAGCCCGGTCGCTGACTCTCAAGTGGTCATGGGTTATTTCGCTATTTTCCTTTGCTCTCCTTGTTCAAAAGTTTATGGTTAAGACCTATCTCCGTCAGCCTCTGAAGAATGATGCTTATGGTGTCGCCTAGGTGCCTTATTCTACAAATGATCTCAACCAGCGAGCAAAGTCGAAACCAGACGTTGAAAAGGTTCAGAAATGTGCCATTTCAAACCTCAAGTCGAATTTGTCTTTCTTAGACCATGCCGTCCCTATCAAAACCGACGAGTTCATTCAACGTCGTGACCGGCTAGCTGTCGCTCTGGTTGATGCCAAAGTGGATGCTTTTGCCGTTGAACCAGGCTATACGTTCCAATACTACGGCAACATCAGTCAGACGGACTGGGAACCATGGGAACCGGAAGAACGGCCATTTCTCATGATCGTCCAGCCGATCGTGGATTCGGCCACGCACAAGGTCAGGGCAAAGACGAGCTTCCTATCGCCGCATTTTGAGGAGGAACGTGTCCGCATGCTAGGCATGCCCTTCCCCGCCAATGAACGCTTGGACATCGCTGTCTGGGAAGAGCATTGGAATCCCTACGAGACTCTCCGAATCGCCACGTTCAACAATGCAACGGGTGTCAAGATCATGGTCGACGAAGAAATGCGCGATTACATCGTCCGAGGACTAGATGCGGCGGGGTTTGACACTGTGGGCCTGAGTGACGAGGTCGAAAGTGTCAGGCAGAAGAAGAGCCCATCCGAAGTCGAATTGCTCCGAGCCGTGAACACTGGCACTGTCGAGGCTGTGCGACAAATGAGACCTTGTGAATTTCCAACGCTCCACCATTCCAGGCATTGCTGATGTACTAACACCGTCCCTCCTCCAGGTCTCGTGCCGGGTTTGACCGAGAACGAAGTCACCACGATACTGAACAACGCTTTACTCTCTGTGGGGTTCTCCCTGTTCTTCAATATTGTCCTGTTTGAAGAGGATGCCGCTCTCCCCCACGGCGGCTTCATCACAGGAGATAAAGTCCTTACATACGACACGATGGTATTGATTGATGTCGGGTGCGGATGCTGTCGCCCTGGTTCGTTATACCACCACGGCTAACTTCATGAAGCGCTCATTACCTGGGCTATTCTTCAGACATTTGTCGGAGTTTCTTCATCGACCCGCCAACTCAAAGTCCCGCTCATCATCGATCCCCACTCAGCCTGATTCACAAGGCCTGGTCCGTCTTCCATCCAGCCTCTCCGCATTCTAGAACATCTTTACAGCCATACGAGCCGCAAAACTCCCATCTCCATGCTCTCAAGCTTGAGATCTGGTCTCTCGTTCTCTCCGCCCAGACGGCCAGCATCGAAGCCTTCACACCCAACTCCTCCGCCGCTGATGTCGACATTGCCGCGCGAACGGTTATCTCGAACGCCGGTTACGGAAAGGCCTTCACCCACCGTGTCGGCCATGGCATTGGTATCAAAGCCCATGAGTCGCCCTATTTGAACAAAGGTAACACGGATACCATGCTTAGACCTGGTATGACATTCACGAGCGAGCCTGGTGTCTACCTGGAAGGCCGCTTCGGCGTCAGGCACGAAGATATATTCCTCGTGATGGAAGATGGGGACGAGGCGGAATGCCTCAGTGGTCAGAGAGCAAGGGGTCCTTATGAGCCATGATCCCTTCCCGGTGAAAAGTAAGGTCGGCTTGAACTGTTGCTTCCCCTTAAGATGGCTATCGTATTACATTACCGGTTCCAAGATATGGGTACCCAACCTGCTCAATGCCGATTACCGCACTGTGGTTACAGTCGTGGAATGGAGTGATTTCATTGACCCTGGTCCTTCTCATTTTGGGATATGCAGGCTACCACTACTGGAGCTATCTTTCAGTCTCTGTGCGACGGTGACTTTCTTACATGCACGATCTTTGAGCCTCGTTGGGGCCTGTGCTGTTCCTTCGGCTTGACTACCGCAGCCCATGACTTGAATTTTTGGACGTTTCCGCAAATTCAAGAACCGCATTGAGAACTTTTCGATTGATTCCCCATTGCTCGCCTTATCTTGTCCATCCGAGGTCGCCCTCCGAACATGGTCGCGCTATGATTACAGTCACTAGCAAAACCGGCTTTGAACCCTACTCAAGATCCACTCACGTATCTTTCATTCTGGGGGTGCTTTCTCGTCTATTGACGCTAAGACTGATTCCAAACGAGGCTGTACGCAGTCAGAGAGACTCCGGGACTACGCCACAATCTAATTCTGCTGCGCCACGAATGCCTGGGTTCAGGGCGGTTTGGTTAAGCCACCTTACCCCACCTGCCCAGCAAAAATGTCCTCCCAGATGGAAAATGTGAAACCGCATCATTAATGCCCTTCTCTATGTATGCGAGAACGTGTTCGCCGCCCTAATGGAGGCTGTGGGATCTGCCGCCAGCATTATTGCTGTTATCGAACTTACCGGCATTGTCGCAAAGCTATGCGGCTGCTACATCTTGGATGTGAAGGATGCTCGCCATGACATTGAAAGGCTGCAAAAGAAGGTAGAGACCTTAAGCGATATTGTGAAGCAACTCGCAAAAATCAGCGATCAGAAGACAGACGGATCTGTCTCCTTACCTGCTCATGTGACTGAGTCAATCGGCCAATGCCTGAAGGACCTTCAGAAGCTTGAGAACAGACTTCAGCCTAAGACCAGACACAAAGCGATGAGCAAGGTCGGCTGGCGAGCGCTCAAATGGCCATTATCGAAGACTGATGTGAACGAGCAAGTACAAAGGCTGGAGGGCTATGTTACAATCTTCAACACCGCTTTGCAACTTGTTCATATGTAAGAACCCAGCACAAGGATCGATATTTGTGCAGACTGCTAATATGGCATCTCAGCGCCATCTCTCAGGGTTTGGACAGCAAACTTGATCGAAATCGAGATGAACAGCTGTTGATGACCATCTCGCACGTTGGAGAGGCAGCATTTAACTCGTACGAGAACCAGCGGCACCGGCAGTGTCTCCCAAATACACGCGTCGAACTTCTCCGGGAGATCATGGACTGGACGACCAGCAGTTCCAGTCAATATATCTTCTGGCTTAAGGGCCGCGCAGGCACTGGTAAGTCGACGATCGCGCTGACGATCGCTCAGTCGCTCGACCAGCAAGAGGCCAAATTGGCAAGCTTCTTCTTTAAGCGTGGCAGTGGCGACTTGGCTCGTTCACGGAAGGTGGTTAGTACAATTGCTTTTCAGTTGGCGTTCAAATCAAGTCTTCTCGGTGGTTTCATCTGTGATGCGCTCCGGAATGATCCCAATCTCGGCAAGTCCGCATCATTATCTGAGCAATACCACAAGCTGCTTCTTCAACCGCTACAAAGGGTCCCACAGAGTGTAGCCGGATCTCCTCCATTTGTGGTCGTGTTGGATGCCCTGGACGAATGTGACGACATGGACGACATACGGCTCCTTCTTCGACTCCTCGGCAATACGCAAAGCTTGTCAGGCCTAGGCCTTCGTCTCCTGGTGACCAGTCGTCCCGAGGCACCGATTCGCTTGGGGTTTCGTGATATGAAGCATATTGCGTATCACGAACTCGCCCTTCATGATGTTCCCCGAGCCCTAGCGGATCGAGACATTAATATATTTGTTGCCCACGAACTCGCCCAAATTAAGGCCGACCGAGGGTTACCAGATTCCTGGCCGGGGGATGACCGGATTCGAACGATTACCACGTTGGCAGATGGGTTGTTCATCTATGCCGCAACGGTCTGTCGATTCGTCAATGGCCCTCGACAAGTCAATGCGTCTGTTCGACTGGAGCAGATATGTCAGCGGAGGGGAGTCAAGCATAAGTCGACGGACGCACTCGACGAGATGTACTTGATGGTTCTCAAGACTTCGATGAGCGATGACTTCTCCGCCGATGAAGAGACAGAAGTTGCCGCGCGCCTACGACATGTCGTGGGGAGTGTAGTCCTACTATTTGACAACCTCTCCGCTCCGGAACTGGAACGATTGTTGTTTCCCTCAACTTTTTCGGGTGGAGATGTCGTGCGGGATACGCTAGATTCTTTGCATGCCATTCTTGATGTGCCGAAAGACCCCCAGAAGCCAGTCCAGATGCAGCACCTGTCGTTCCGAGATTTTCTAGTTGACCATAGCCGATGTGATGATATTCGGTTTCACGTCAATCAACAACAGGGGCACCGCAGTTTGCTCACTCATTGTATGAGCTTAATGGCAGAGTCTCTTGCGCAAAATATATGCCATCTCCCCAGCCCGAGTACGCTAGTCTCAGCAGTGTCTGAGGCAGTGTTACACCAATACCTTCCTCCAGGACTGATATATGCTTGTCGTTATTGGATTGATCATATCAAACAGGGTCAGGCAAGTTTAGATGATGATGGCCCAGTCCATGCCTTTCTACAACAATGTGGTCCTTTTTGGTTGGAGGTCATGAGCCTCATCCGCAAGTTTCCTCAGGCGATGGGTGCAATGAGGCAGTTGGAGGAGTTCATTTCTGTGAGTGGAAATTGGTCAACTTTGGAATGCTATTTAACGTCAAACGTAGGTGAAGAAATCTCCAAAGCTATATTCTTTAGTCAGCGATATGGTGCGATTCATGTATAGCTTTAGTCACATATTAACACAAGCTCCCTTGCAGCTATACAGTAGCGGGGTTTTCTTCAGCCCCACTGACAGCAGCTTTCGACGAATGTTGGCCTCTCTGATCAATATAGATCTTGTGGTGGCAACCCAGCTTCGGCGTCAATGGAGTGAATGCATTCAGACGCTGGAAGGCCATTCAAGAGAAGTCATAAGCGTGGTATTCTCGCTCGATGGGACTCGACTGGCATCTGGCTCTGATGACAGCACAGTGCGGGTGTGGGATGTGCAGACAGGCGAGTGTCGCCACACGCTCGAAGGCCATTCAGATGGGGTCAGCAGCGTGATATTCTCGCCCGATGGGGCTCGGCTGGCATCTGGCTCTCGGGACAGCACAGTGCGGGTGTGGGATGTGCAGAGAGGCGAGTGCCAGCACACGCTCGAAGGCCATTCAGGTGTGGTCAGCAGCATGGTAT